TTGTCCATTTCGCAAAATAGTAACTCTCCTAAAATTACTATTTTGCGAAATACATTTTAATACGGTTTAAGAAATAAGAGGAGGCCAAAATGTTCGGTGATATACTAATTTGTAATGTTTAAATGTATTTTTGTGACATGAAAGAGGTTACGTTGTCATCGCAGGGGTGAAAATGCTCCATTTCGCAAAATAGTAACTCTCCTAAAATTACTATTTTGCGAAATATATTTTAATACGGTTTAAGAAATAAGAGGAGGCCAAAATGTTCGGTTATATACTAATTTGTAATGTTTAAATGTATTTTCGCGACATGAAAGAGGTCACGTTGTCACCGCAGAGTGAAAATAGTCCATTTCGCAAAATAGTAACTCTCCTAAAATTACTATTTTGCGAAATGAATAAAAATCCTTCTTATTAATGAACGATTACTCCAAAATCCTTGTGAAAGTTATCTTTACCTTATTTGAAAATATATCTGCATTATTCCTTTTGTTTTATTTCATCTGACCCGATTTCGTTTCGTTTCGTTTCGTTTCGTTTCGTTTCGTTTCGTTTCGCAAAATAGTATAAGCCTTGAAGGAACGACAACTGACAGTAAATCTCCATTAAATTCTGTAACCTCAAAGGGTTACCTAAGTGGCTGAACAGACAATTCGATCACAATTCGAAGGCACAGAGAATGTCAAGTGATCTTTAATAATTTTAGAAGATAGCGCTAAGATGTATTTGTGCTTGATCGAAGTAGCGATTGAGGTTGTGCGGTTCGAACTAAAAGAAAATACAACAGAAACCAAACTAAGAAAAATGCGATGCGAAATCTAAAATTAACCTAACTAGAAAACTGAATACAAGAACCACACCAGTAATACAGACAAAAGGTAAACATCATAAATGTAAAAGAGATAAAGACTTACTTTGGTCTAGCTCCTAACGATAGCAAATAACTTGTAGCGATTATCTAGCACCGATGATTTAGCCGCGATGATTTAGTAGCAATGATTGAAATAGAATCTTTACACGTGTACTTAAAGGGGAATTGATCGGAGACTACAAAGGTATTGTGTAATAATCATGAACTAACGAAAGACTAATTGATGAAAATCAGGCAGTGTGCACACTCTGATTGCGTTGCATCATGGTCGTAAAACGAAAAGCGAGTCATTTGAATCCTCTCGCGGTCGAGTGAACATCTCTGGTGACAGCAAGATAGCGTGAATAAATGTGAAATGTAATGGGGATTCACTGTCTGTTGCCGTTCCTCTGAAAGTTAAAAAGTGTTTGTGGCCCTGCGCAACTCCTGTCATTCCTCCATGACAAATTCGTTGTTTGGAGGCAGCTGAAGAGATTCAGAAAGAATCGAAACTGCAGCCTTGGCCAAGAATCTATTCATTTGGCAGCAGTTATACTCACAGCCGATTGCTTTGTGAATAATATCAAAACGGGGAATCGAACTTGACATGAAAACGCGTTACAAAGAGACAGCGACCTTCTAGTACACGAACTATTTTCATGTCATAGACTTAGGGCGTAAATACGAGATTCGAGAAAGAAGCCTTACGTCTCCTGGGACCAAATTCGTTACGCTCAACGTTTAATAAAACACGTACAGAGTTTCACATGTGCTTAAAGAATAGAGAATACCTGGAATAAGGTTTTGAGAAACGTATCTCTGAAGTTATTTTCGGCAGAAGAGACAGTGTACTAGAAAACAAAAAAAAAATAGCGCGCACACATGAAAATATTACCTTTTGTAACACAATGTTATCTGGCTTTGCCAAACCTCAAGAACATACAGATGGGGAAATGACACCTTAAAAATGACCCCTATTACCACATCGCAAATGAAAGTCATTAAAAGATATCCTCATAAAAGCTAAGCTTTCAGGTCAGAAGATTTAAAAGCGCAAGCAAATGGCAGGAGTAGCCAAGCCCATCAACACCTTTTAACGATCGACTGCCTTTCGCTTTCCGGTTTACCCGGCGTGTCGCATGGTAGATTTACCTTTCAACATTCATTAGTTAATTTCCTTTTACTTAACGAAAGTAGATTTACAACACAATTGGATATACAATAGTAGCGCTGTGTAACGCAACAATAGGCCTTTCCTAGGCCATAGTCGGTCTCAAACACTTGCACTTTAAATGGGAGACACATGTACTGTTGGAGAGCGTTTGGTCAGAGCTGTTGAAGAAGGATCAAAGCGGCCATCTAAACCTTTGAAAGGCTATAAACTACGACGTACACCAAGTTTGACCTTCTCGAAAACCGGTCTCAAATTACATACTAAAAAACAGTGATTGCGTTTGTCCTTGAGAACCATAGAATACGCGACAAATACGTACAAAAATACTTTTACACATTCAGAAAAAATCAAATTACATTTACCTATGGTGAGAGAAAAAAGGAATGTCCTAGCTTTTACGGAATGTTCAGTCAAAATCTGCCAATTTCTGCTGCTTTCACCGCCTCATTGAAAATGAAGCTACCGCAATGCAACGCAATCGGAGTGCGCACACTGCCTGGATGAAAATGAACCAGAGCGATAATAAAGAGAGTAGTAACTAAGAAATGGTAATGTAAATTGACCACCGTAAAGAGATTATGAAGTTGACATTTCGAGCAACAGCCCGGCTTATTCAAAGCGAGTGAAAAATGTCGACTCGCCAGACATGCATGATAATTCATAAAAGTTAGACGAAATGAATATGTTTGACTTATCGAATTCTTTTACCTTAGTGGAGGCCGTGAAGGCTTCAAAGTAATTTCTTCAATTCTGCGTTACTGTCATGAACACTACATTTGTCACGCAACAAAGCAGTTCCTACCCACCGTAGTGATTAGACTGATTTAGCATAAGGACAAAAGACAGGACAAAGTGGTTGCTTGACCGATATCGAAGACCAGAGTACTGGAACCTTCGTCACGTCATTTACTGGAGGTTAGCTTGTAATGATGGCGGCAGCTTAAAGCCTGCAAAGTGCCCGAGACGTTTTGCTTGCTAATTTCGACGATGTAATAAATGACGTGGAATTAATGGCTCTTTACGAAGAAAACCATACAAGAGGAATGTCCTTATCTTGGAAGTATGACAAATTTGACCTGAATGATTGGGTTGAAGCATCATGCGTGTACATTCGTTAAAGTTCTAGAACGTTGTTTTTCCTAATGGTCTTTTAGCTAACTTTAATGAACCATATGAGGGGCGAAGGAATGATGCCACTATGCTCTATGAATTAGGGTTACTAAGGAATCTGCAAGTAGTTGGCTGGGAAAGTGATGGCAGGTGACCAGCTTACCCTTTAGGCACCATTTGCAAGCTCCATTTAGCGGTGTTTATATCACCCTACAGATGGAAAGATTCAATATGCGTATAACTGAAGTCATGGGTGGTGTAGAATAAATGTTTGGTTGCATTTCAAATTACGCCAAGTTTATTAGTTCCCAAAGCAGCTACAGATTGGTCTTAGTCCTATTGGCAAGATTTACCTAGTGTAAGGAATTCTTCAAAATGCTCACACATGCTTATACGGGAACATTCTTACAGATTATTTTAGATTCCCGGGATCTTCTAAACTATTTTTGGTAACATACATACATACAGGTGTTTTAGATTCTCATTGTGATGATTAATTTTGTTGAAAGATTTTCTTTAATATGCATAGCTGTATTTGGGTGCAAAGAGACACTGAGACATTGTTTATATGAGCATTTTGAAGTGGCAGAACAATGTAAATATTCTTCTTCAAATTGAATTGTGTTTCAACTATGTAAAGTAGTGCTGACCATTTTTGCAAAATAGTATCCAAGATATGTGGAATGAAAAGAATTAAATATATGTTGTCATGGTTTGCATTCAGTGCAGTACTATGAGGATTATGAAAAACACATCCTTTAAGGTCAAGCAAAAGCCAAGCATGCAGCTAATTTTTGACAGCAATTTTACCAGAGGACTTTTATTTTACCTATAAAGGTAGTCAAAGTTCACTATTAGGGGGAAAGATGGTCTAAAAATGGCACCAAATGTCCGTTTTGACACCAAGGTACAATAGCACACAACCTACACATCCAAACTTTTCTTTTCACAACATTAACAAGATACAATTCCTTTTTAGTGCTAGCTGTATAATGTTTTGGCCCAATTAGTTAAGGGCTTATATTGGATTGTCCAAGCTCAACTGGACAGGTTCACTTTGACTCATGCTTTAATAGCAGTAATAATACACATGACAAAAAATTTCATTATTGTGATTGGCTAAACAAAATGCAGTTTTTAGATAACATAATGCAAAAGAGAGCCAATTAAGTGCAGAAAATAGTTAATTTAGATTAAAAAAATCAATGTTATGCAGCTGGGCTTCAAAACTAAAAAAAAAAAAAAAGAATTGTTGGCGAGTCCCATTGAATGTCGTTGCTTTGACCGAACACCAAATAACATTTGCAGAGTTTGAATGAATTTACGGTTAATCACACAATTCTTCCTATGTTATTTGGAATAAATCAGCACTTACTAGATTCAAGGTAGTTATGGTGAAACTGTAAACCACTTAAATTACATGTAAACTACTTAAATTTCATTCAGTGACAAATTATGTACTTCTTTGTGCAAACGAAGTTACGAATTGAAATACAGATGTACATTGCATACATTTATATCTTAGATTATAAATATCTTATGGTATAATTTCCAGAACCAGGTAAAAACAACGTCGTTTGGGGCTCTATTGAGAAACAAAACAACCTCTAACCTAATGGGGTTAATTTCCACTTAACTAGTTTTTCCACCTAGTGTTTTCTGAATGAAATTGATCGTAACAGAAAAAGTTGTGCATGACATTATGAGATATTCGGTTTCTAACTGACTCGTCCTTAGTCTTTTTGTTGTAGAAGACAGGGAGCTAATTGAAATGATTATAATAAAGCGCTGTGAAGTACACTATGATATTTGGTTTCTTAACAACTTCTACTCAGTCTTTTTGTTGTGGAAGACTGTTAGCTAATTTCAAACTGTAAGCTCTCCATTATGAACGTTCCGAGGGGGCTTTGGACGGCAGTTTGTCCAGCAAGGCCGAAGCATCCTCTTGAATGCCACCTTGAAAGGCTCACTTTTCAATGCGTAAATCAAAGGGTGGAAGCTTATTGCTAATAAGTACAGAGTTTTAAGGCTCGGAAAGAGACTGTACTTCACAATCGCTTTACTTGCGTTCAGTAGGTTACCGCTGGGCGGCTCAAATGTTGTGATGAGAGTCACAGCGAGCACAGGTGCGAAACAAGCCAACGCTGAAAACACGATGACAGATACCGTCTTAGCGGCGCGCATTTCAGTGACACGCCTCTGCGAGAAAGCGTCCTCCAGTGTTCTTATCTGTCTGTATTGTTTAAAGGAGATTATGAAAATCCACGCATGTGAAATCAGCATGATACCGCTGGGCAGTAAGATACCAACTGTTATAAGAATTAGGAAGTGAGGGATTATGGGTTGTAAGTCGCTTTCGTCTGGGATAAGGTTATTTCGAAGACAACCATATATCAGCTCCAGAAGAGCGCGGGCGTCTTCTCCTTTAATTTCCCTCATAATGTTTGGCAAAAAGCCTTCCACAATGCCAATGATCCACAGGACAGTTATTGTTATGAACGTGCGTTTTGTGGTCACCAACACTGGGTATCTGTTGAGAGACGGAGCAAGAACGATGAGAGAAGTGAAACATACTTTGTTTTAAAAGGGGTTGTCCGTTAAGGTTAATCTATAGAATACAATAAATGGTTTGAACTTGGGGGTAACATTGAAAATTGTGTAGTCTGGTCGTCCTAGTGAGAGTAGTCGTGAGAAGGACTGCTGCTGTCAGCTGCGACTTCCGCTGAGGTTTTCGAAACGTCAATCACTACTTACCACAGAATTCCTTTTCAGTACAACTCTTAAATGGAAAATAAAACCACACAATTCAGTGTATTAATAAACTCAAGTTTAAACGAGGTTCAAGAAACCGGTTTCACTACGTACCTCATTGGTAGTTTTATGGCCAACAGTCGATCCAACGATATAAACAGCAAGTGAAGCATAACAACACAGAATAAAATCCAATCCATTTTCGAAGACCACGTGCACAGAGTTTTAGCCCTCGGATCGCATTCTTTGATGGTGAGAGAGAACGAGTAACCCCCCAACACGGGAACAAACAAAAGGCTTGCTACAGAGAGGCTGACAAGAAGATAGTTGGCGGGTGTTCTTAGAGTCTTGGTTTTATACACAGCCATACAGATGAGTATGTTCCCCACTGTGGCGGATAGCGCAGTAGTTATAATGAGTGTTAAGAATATTGCGGTCGACAAATTCCCTTGCAGATCGCAGGTGATATTTTTTTCGGAATGTATGTTCGGCTCCATCTTTCCTTTTTTATCTCTGTTTCTTTTGTGATACGACAAGGTTTTCTGAGGAAAGAAAAGTCAGCAATGGTGAATGCTCTCTTTTTTTACTGCTTTATGGCAATAATTATAGCTTTTCTCCTGTATGCGTAGGTAACACGAGCTCTCACTTAAGTCGTCATCCGTCTGGAAATTAGTGCCCTGACGAAACAAATGTTTTTCCAAAGCAAGCTGAGGAAAATGATGATAAGGACCTTGGGAAATACACCTGCTCGATATCTGCATTTCCTTTAAAGTAACTACTTTCGTTACGAGTTCCGTTAATATTTACTTATTTTCGTAGACTCTATAAATTATTGTTTACAGAATAAAAACAGTATTGATCTGAAAGATACCAAGAAAAACTAGGGCTGAGGACGCCAAGTTTTCTTACTTTTTAAACAAAACTTTTGTTGAAGAAATAATGCCTTTGTCTTTATGAATTACTGAAGTACCTGCTTTGATAACAATGATGCTAATTAAAATGTGGTACACCTTTCGGTCATTAAAACAAAACCTTAGGAAGGTGTTGCGATCAAAACTATTGGGAAATTTAGTAAAGGAAGGTTTTATTTGTTATTCAGCTAAAATATCATCGAAATAACCTAGATAAGGCATTAAATACGAGTAAAATTTTTTTTTTAAGTGGTTTCTTGGAGAGTTATAGAAATCCAGTTTAGTGGAGCATGCAGGATTAAATGTGAAGTGCACAAATTGTTATCGATGGGAACTAGTTTTGCGTGATTAAAATTACAACATGAGTTGTTCTTGGAAAGAAAAAATGTCATAAAAAGTCTTCGTTGAAATTTTCGATCCTTGTTCGCAGGCAAAAAGCCAAAATTACATATGGGAGCCGATTTCTTACTTCTGCAATTAGTTAGCGTAACATTGATGATCGTCGTGTGCGCCTTGGCACCCTTTACTGGTATAAAATGATGTTTTGGTGACGATATCGAGTCTAAAATCGAAGTTAAAATATTGGCTTGTGAAACATTAACCTAGCTTTAAATAGGAGTAAAACGAAAAATTTGCTATGTATTTCAATTACAGGACAATTTCTTCGGGGTTTTTAGTTTAAGTCTCTTCCATGATACCTAATGCGTAAAGGCTTGAATATAAGATAATTTGGACGAACGTTCAAAAATTTGAAATATCAGTTCCCCAAAGCCCTCCGAAAAAATACGCTCGTCAAAGAAAAAATAACGAAGATGGCTCCAGGAAAGAGTTCTAGGATTTCCAAGTTTGCGAGTCAAAATTTGATCTCAATTACTTACTTCAAAAACTTTTTCCGTTGCAAGGAATCTTTCCTTCTTTTCGTTGCTTGTCGAATTCGAAATATCTGACTGACGACGACACCGAATTTTTCAAAATTTCCTCTCTTAAAGCAAAGAAAAGAAATGAAAAAATCGTATCAAGACTTTTTTCTATCTACTCCGTGTGTGATTTTTGCTGATTGGCTCTGCGTCACAAAAGTTCCTTAAGCTGGTAAACACCTTGATTCTGCGTCAAATTACCTGAGGCTTTCTCGGCATGCGATAAACTGCTCTTAAGCCTGTAATAAAGTTTAATGACTTCCTTAGAATGGAAAGCTAATAATATAAATAAGAAACGATGCCTTTCTCTAATTCCTCTTTCTTGGTTTGAAAAAAAAAAAAACAACAAGCCACCGTTACGGTGCAAACGGATGCTTATAAGTTGGCTTTTATATCAACTAATGGACACGCACGTTGTCGAGGAACTATTCTGTTATTTTCGATCAGTTTGGCTTATTGGATGTGCGTCCTGAGGTAATGCATCTTTAAGTGATTTATCGAACACGTCACGGAAATAAGTTATTAGCTTTTCCATCTGAACAAAATTCTACAGGTAAAAATAAAAAAAAACAACAACAACATCCACAGCTAAAACTGTCTTCAATTTAAATATGTTCAAGAAATGGAATTTGTTTAAACAGTGCAGCAGCGGGTGACTACTGTTAATCTGAAGTAGTAATTGAAAAAAAGGAATTTTATTATGCGTAGAATTCTTATTGAAATTACCCATATTAGTCAGTATGTTGTTAACATAATAATTTTTCTTCGCCTAATGAAGAAGTCATGTGATTTTAACAAAATTATCCGTGGAATTATGACCCGACAACTTGTAATTATTTTTTTTTCTTTGCCTTATGTGTTTTTCGGTTTACTAGTAAAGAAAAACATAACATCAAATCTGTCCTAGAAACACTGTACATGTAAACAAAAAATAATGTTAAAAAATTCCAGCGATGTAAATAAGTCACTTTTAAATGTGTTTGTAGGACTTGAATTTTGTGAGTGAAACATCGAAAATTTCGTAAATCAGTGGTCATGTGGGGGAAAAAATACGGTTATTGAGTTTTTGTTCGAGATTATTCATAGAGGTCGGTGGATTGCGGATAATGTCAAGTGACGATTTTCAGTTGTATCCGCTAGCAAGTTACCTTGGACTTCAATTAACGTAAAAGTTTATAGGGCAAGCTGTTCAAATATTACTAGCCATTACTTGGCTAAATTCTTAGTATGTTAGTGGGAAAGTGAGAGGCAAAGGAAGGTCTGTAACAAGCTAAAAAATTACCACGTAAAATTTATTTTCGCGGTCATCTCCGAACTGCAAAACATTTCGCAGATTGAATATTCCGCATCGGTAAGTACGTTACTGATGTCTCAGTGAACCCGTGATATAAAGCAGTTATCCAAATAGAAAGTTGATAGTAGAACTATTTTAACTCGACGGAACTTGATGTGCTCGTTATAAGAAAAACAAAACAAAACAAATAAACATATAACCCCGATGAGAAAAATAAAAACTCTCTGTGGCTTAACAGAATATTTTTTCATTGCCACAATATTTCGGCTAAGCTTGCTCACTTGCCGTGAGTAAAATTATATTAAAGAGGGCTTTATCAGCTACTTACATTTCTCGGTTTTTATGACTGAAACAGAACTATATTTCTGATGTAGATGACGCCTTGTAAGCTGCAAGCAATGTTCAATAGCTAGAGGAAATCCTGTTGTATACAAGATTTTGACAGTTTGGTAAACTTGGAATATTTCTTCGAAAAAGCAGACCTTCTCTTTATGTTGACAAGGATAACCTGTGCATGCTGTACCTGAACATAAGACTGAATTGAAACAATTACGTACCTTATTTGCAGGGCAACTTCAGAGAATATTCATTCCGAATACAGGCTTTTTAAAAATAACACGTCGATGTAAATGAACAGTTGCAACCAATTAAAAGTGGAAACTAGCTTAGGAGTAATTGCTTAATTATCTGTCACTTTAGACCGAGAGCAGTTCATCCTTTCCGGCAAAGCCCGTCGCGTGAGTAAGAAACAAATCAGTGAAAAGAAAATTGATGTTGGCGCCCTAAAAATTTTTTTTTTACTGCCGTTTGGTTTTTTTTTTTCTTTTTTTTTTTTTAGTTGTGCGACGGACTTCGCCAAGTAGGAGGGACTGATGTTAGTCTATTGTCACTGTGTTTAAACAGCTGAAGAAATTATACGACCTCGCACAGTTTGAATAAAATCTGAAAAAGCTAATTTAACGAACATGATTGAGATGTCGAACTAACTGCCAACTGCCCTGAAATAAATTTTGTTCATCATTCAATTATGTTTGGTCTCGCTTCCTACAATTTGCTGTACTTACTCGACAGAAAACCTTGGAATTCATATAACGTTTCTATTTGTCGATGTGATGGGAGTATTTGCGGAGCGGTGCGGATGTAAAACAAAACTTGATTAATAATGTTTGTGAACTTCTGACGTTCCTCTTCAAAACGATGGGATAAGTAAGAGAAAACTTGATAGTGAATTAACGACCTGCCAACTCAAGTAACGAGCACAACCGTAAACTGGTGGTGTGGAGAGTTTTACACAGAAAAGCGTCCGTCTGAACAAAAACGAAGCAAATCTCCTCATGTTTACAGTTGCATTTTGGTTTTGTTTTCACCTTTCCTCACTAATGGGTTTTTCAACTTATACTGTCTAATATGTTTTCAAATATTGTCCAAACGTAATTCGCCAAAACGCTAATGAAATCGACAGCATGAAATGCTTTTTTGACACTGTTTTTTAAAGCCCCCGTCCATTTTCACCTGTCAACCCTTAAAAAAGATTGTTATCAAAACGCTGTGTTCAGTCCTAAAACTGATAAAGATTCCTCCTTTGAAACCTTTTTCCAAAGTCTCACTGGTGTTCTCGGGAATTTGGCAGTGAGTGTATGATATGCAAAATTGCATTTTAAATCACTTGTTTTTGAATGAAAACAAGTCAGTGTGAGTGATGCCTAATTAGAACTGTGCATAGACCGCGTAATGCTAGGCGCTCAAAGGAGGGTGGTGCCATTTTGTGTTAAGAAATATATTTTTCTTCGAAATATAGGGTGTATTCTGATCCGGCCCTCTTTCGGGAAGCGCTATACGGCGATGGGGTTTCCTTTGGCTTAATTTCCAACCAAATGTCATAATACGTTTCTGAAGGTCAATAAATGGTACTGAGTCATATTGGCACCCGAACCCTTCCCCCCCCCCCTTCCCCTCCCCCCGCCAGTCGCCTCACTAGATACCGGTTCCTCCTCAGCCATTTTAACCAGAGTCGGATCACAGGCTTCTCTTTTTCCCATGATGTTTGAGGCATCCTTTCAGAATTTTCCTCAGAATTATGACATTACCGTGTTCATTATCCTGTGATGAAATTTTGCGAGGCAAATGTTGCGAGAAAGGTTTGAGACTAAAATCAATGTCCGTGGTTACTATGTGAATTTCCAATGCGGTACAATGAACACGGAGGCGAATGATCCCTTCCCGCTCGTCGCAATTTTATTTTAAATATTCATTATAAGGCCCGTGCAATGTCTGATTTGAATTTCAAATACTACACTATCTACACTCATTTTATTACTATTCATTTGAGTGTTTGAGTTTCGTCCGGATCTTTTAACGTGAGGTTCAAAAATTTCGCTCTGTTGCTTTCAATCCGTTTACTAAACGTTGCCAGGAATGTCTTCAGGCGACACTCCGAACTTCTCTTACGGTTGAAGTTAAAATGTTGGATGTTTTGCGTTTCGGTTCGGAAGTGTTTGTTGCTCCTCAGACGCGAGTTACAGCCGGCAAGTTATGAGAGACAAGTGGTGAGGTGACGGAAGTTTTGTCTACTTTTAAACTCATTTTGAGAGCTCTATTGTATGTCGTGTTTTAAGAATCACCGTTGATATATCAGCTCGAGATAGGTGTTTCCAACATAGCATAAAGTTATTGCTTAAGGGTTATGGCGACCTGTGATATTGCGAAAAGCCAACTTCGACTTTCATGGACGAATTTTGTATCAATGTATCAATGATAGAGATTTAAGAAGGCGATAGATTTCCTTTTACACTGAAAAACTCACAAAACATGATCATTCTTAATATGGAAGCTATTTTCAAGAGCAAGAGATTTTCTGAAAACCCTAATTACCTTATTCTAACTGGAAGAATTCTGTAACAGAATCCATTGTATTCTCGAAATTAGTCAACAGGAACCCTAATCGTTTCAGTTTTAAAATATTAGTTGAAATTACGTTTAAATGTGGCGCGGTTTGGGCGAGCGTGTAATGTCCTCGACCTAGACATAATAAAAATACACTTATCGCCCAAAAAAAGCCCATTGTGAAAATCAGTGTACGCGGATTTCAAAACTACAATGATAATTATACGACGATAATAATCATGACTGTAATAATAATAATAATAATAATAATAATAATAACAATAATAATAATGATTAAAACAATTACTAGATTTAATGAAATGAATTAAAAGAAAGAATAACCTCCACGTCATTATTCAAAAGCTTAGAACTCTTTGTAAAGATTCGAGAAGATTTCAACAATTAATAATCAGCAATCATCTTTTTCTGTTTAAGAGGTTTCGAAGAGCCACTGGACTTTCAGCTAAAGCAGCCAACACATCAGGAAATAAATGTTCTTCAAGTGGAAGAATCATATATATAAATAAATAATCAAAATTATTTATTAACTACAATCTCTGCGTTGTATCAACAGGAAAAGAATTGGGGAAAGCTATACAGGCCGCATGGCTGGCAGTGGTCCAGGATACCCTGCCGAAAACAACATAACCACCTTCATGCACATCCTCATCTTTCATGTCCCGAGAGCATGGATCAGCCATTCCTTAAGGGAAAAATAATTTTGATTCACGCCCCAGAAAGAATCCTCATGTATTTGAAGGGATTTCTTCTCCAATAAACTCATGGGTAACCCCGTCCTTCTCAAAAAAAAAATATATATATATATTAATTTCTATCGACTTCACAGTGGATTATGCCTGGAGAAGCGGTGGCCAATTTACTTTAACAATTCAGTTGTTAAAATCAATTATCTTGTCATGCTTGGAGAAGGTCTGCTCTTGGCCAAAGGATTCTTTTCAACCGTAATTATTTTTACTGACGGCTCTCCTTTATCACAGGAAATTGTCTCTGCATGTCTCATCAGGCGTACATCATGTGCAGCAACAACGATGACATTGGACCATTGACAAGACCAAAATAACAAAGGTATTGATTTTGGTACAGTATTCCCAATCCGTTTAATGCTAATCCCTTATTGAGTCAGATCTTTTCCCCACTATTTTTTCTTTCTTTGAGTGAAAGTGCCAACCAAAGTGCTACCTTTTCGGCCAATGATCATATGAAAAGTTGAAAGTATTTCAATCTGGGTCTCGATTAAGGTTGTCCGGCTTGGAGGGCTGAACTGGCAAGACTATTTTTCTCATGTAAAAAACTTGCAAGCACATGCCGGTAAAAGACTTACCTACTGCGTTGATTAGATTTAAAAGTAACGCGGCGTCGTTAAAGAGGTATTTAAGTGAAAGTTCATATTTATGCCGTTATGCCGCGATCGTAATCGTCAGTTTCTCTAATGTTTCGATTTTACACGGCTGTCCTAATAAGCGCATCTATTATTCTGTGCGTGTAAACTCCTGAAATGCCACAACGAAGCAGACATGTTGTAGACGACAAGAAAGCGTTTCGACAGTACACCACAAACGTGCATCGGCATGGCAAATAACGCTTTCTAATGTGCCTACCAAATTTGCACAACCAATTTATGAACTATGAATGATGCATGTTGAGAAGCTTTTCACAATTCAAAATAAATTGTTTTGACATTGTCAAGATGATAATGACAATAATAATGGTAATAATCTTGGATGTTAATGATTATAATACAAAAAGAGAAAATTGTTTAGTTCCTACTGCATTATTGGCTTTGAAATGATATCTGAATCAGCGAAGACGCCGTTCCGCGAAAGATGAAACCTGGGGACAGCTGAGAGGGAAGTCTGAACAGAAAGGATGTCTAAATACGCGTAGCTCACGTAGTCTTTAAAACATCAAACGATTTTTTTATCGGTCTTACGTCAGGCTTTTCATAGCCATGTTCTCCTTCGCAGGACGCAGAGGAAGTTGACTGAACAGGCAGCTGTCAGCCGAGAGAAACGCAACAGCTGGTTTTTCGCTTTTTGAAATTTGTTGGGCAAAAGCTCATGCAGCGATCACAAATACCTTCTTGGGTATCATTTCTTAAATTTTGGCCAAATACAGAATAAACTTTAAAATGTAAACCATTGCCAAGATTCGCAAAGATTTTTGTGACTTTGCGATGCAGTTTAAGGGAGGTATTGTGTCAAAATTTTAAAGTCCGGTTTCAGATAACGAAATTGAAATAGTGAACGGAGCATTTGTTCTTCTCTTTCTTTGTTTTGCTGGAAAGGTCGACTTTGATCACGTACAGCTTTGATTCAGAGGTAACCCACATTAACTCACTACAAAATGATTGCGACGTGCGTTTCTGGTAGCCATTATTTTTACCTAAAACTAAATAAATACCGGTAAGTCTGGCTTAAAGAATGTAAACGGTGGGTCTAGTGTCGAGGGCCCGATTTTTTTATGCTCGAAGGAGGACTCAACTAAAGCGGAACTGATTTATTAAAACCGTTATTCCTGACCATCAATCCAAGAACAGCCAAAGGGGAACCAAGGACGACGACGAGAAAGATTTCGTTTTTAACGCACTAGTGAGATTAAATTTCAGTCACCGAATTGAAGTTAGGGGTTAAATGAGTGTACTTAGATTTCATTTTTACGTGGTTTATTTTTACTTATAAATAAACAGGAAGATGATTTGAGTGAGGGTTTTCTTCCGTGACTGGCGAGTCAGCGAATCTGTCAACACCTTTGCTCATTGTTCCTTGAACACTTCAGCTATTTGCTGAGGGAAGCACTCTCATTCTGCAAAAAGTTTGATTTTAACATGACGAACGTTTTGACCGTGGCGTTGCGATTTTCAATATTTTTGCTTATCATAGGATGTACTGAAGCTAAGAGGTAATATACATTGTTTTAATTTTATCGATATTTATGCTAAGGTGCATACAAATCCGACGAGTGTCGTAACCTTTCTCGAATGCAAATGATGTTGTCAAAATGCAGCTCTTTCGTTGTTTGTGAATATTATCCTTCAAGAGGGAAGGCTCTGTAATTCACTTACATTTGACGCACTTTTCCCCCCCTTTGTACAGATTTTCAGTTTGTTGGCAGGAAAGTTTCAGGGGCGGGCTTGGCAAGGCATATATTATTTCGACTTTAGCGACTCGTAAGCTCAACAGACTTTCGGTGCCTCAGAGAGGCTGTGCTGTTGCGTTGGAGGGGGTTTTACAAAATTATTTCGTTTTATCAAGTGAATAAATAGCGAAAAGAGTTTCAAAAGCTGACGTTCGATCGTTAGCCCTTCGTCAGAGTTGTCCTCGATTCGGTCCTCTGAAACAGAGTGGAATTTGACCCCTACATAGTCCGATCAATAAATTTCGTGACTCGTATTGGAATCTTTTTAGCACGTGTACACTGGTCATTATGGCAGCGAGAAAATTTCCAATTGTAGCTCCTTGCCATGTTAATATGCGAAGAATATTCGAAGGAATTTTAGGTTTCAATTTCACGTTTTTACTTCCGGACAAGTATGCAAGTGCAAATTCACTTCAAAAGTGAAAGGTTCGATTTTTCCCTTTTTCCACCCGTGACACTTTCATTCAATTTTGTTCGATCGGCTTCCACTTGTTGGATCAGCTTCTCTTTTGTTTTGTTTTGTTTTTTTTTTTGTTCTTTCTTTTGTTCTTTCAATGAAGTTTTCTTAAATTAATATTCGTGCTTTACCATATGGAAGGTATGGGATAAAATCCACCACAATACTAGCGTAATTAAGGAAGAGGAATTCAAAGTTTCCGCCCTCCTCTCCATATTAGGGACTGGAACCGATCCTTCTCTAGGAAATAGATAGTGGTAGCAGCGAAATTAACGTTTTAGATATTCTGCCGTGTGACAACGGAATTAGCCAGCTATAAGAGTGACTAAAGAAGACTAAAAGGTACCAGTTCGCACTGCCAAAGGCATGGAGCTAGGAACTGGTAGCAATTTAATCATTTTCGACGAAATGTTACCTAGTATAAACATGCATGTCATCGAATTCTGAGACGCCGAAGGATGATTTTTTAAGGATTTATTTTACTTCGGCTAGGCGAGGCCTGGAATTAAAACTGTAAGGCGACTTACCGGGAAGAATCTCTTCCTTACTCTAACCTGTCCGGCTTGCAAGCCGTATTGAGTGTTAATTGGAATATCTTAATCACGTTAAGTAGCTTAAAAATTCTTACCTCTACTTACAGCCAACAAAACATTTTATTTCTCAAACTTGTCATCGTTATCATTGCAGGTTTGCCATAATCGCTCCCAATGTGTTTCACGTTGGGGTCGAGGAGAACGTTTCAGTTGCGGTTTACGATGCCATGCAGCCCGTAACAGTGAAGTTATATCTGCAGGACTATCCATTCAGGCGGAAAACATTCTCCCCAAACCAAGTTACACTACAACCAGGAAAAGGTAAGACGAAAGCGTTACAGACTTTTTTTTTTTTTTTTATCCGAATCGCTGCTGGGATTTGAAAGTGCTATAAGTATTAGCCTTCAAAACCTGGTGAGATGGAAGCAAAGATTTCGCGAGAGTCTTAAAAGAGGAACCACATTTTCTAGGAAAATGAGATTCCAAGTCGACTTTCATCTTATGGATGACCGAGTCTAATCATTTTGCAGCATCATCACTTCAAGATAGATATTTAGAAGATTTGGGGCTCAAAGCCACTTCAATTAATGGCTTTGCTATGGGAAAGATGAAGAATTAACCTGAAATATAAAAGGCCTGTTTGATTTTTGTTTTTTCTCTTAGGGAGCACCTCTCTCCTCACAGTCAAGGTAAGAGTTCAGTAGCATTTCGGAAGACGCGCTAGAATCTTTTAACGATGCACAGTGTTTGGTGAAGTAATGGCGCGTAATCATGAAAGCTATAACGTAGGTCATCACGGGCCCTAAGCTATCATTTTAAAGAAATATGGACATTACAAGCAATAAAAACAGCATCAGTTATGGAATAAACGGTTTGAAAATACAAGAAGTTTATTAGTACTTTGAATATTGTTTTAATTTGAACGGTGTTCTGTCATATGCATATTTAAAACAGGTGAAGGATTTTTTATTTTTTGGAATTTTTTTAAAAAGTATCGTTCTGTTGGATATTACCCCAATTACCCGAAGTTCCTGTGAACTACGTTTTACACAAATTTGATCGAAAAAATTATCCGCAACAAAGTGTGTGTTAGTGACCCTTCTAAGTATGGTCTCTGTCCAAAAGGGCTTCCCTTTATTGATCAGACTTGCGAAGAAGATCTTTATATTATTTACTCGTAACTTTACACGTAACTGGTCCTTCTTGTATCTCAAGGTGGAACCGGGGAACCTTCCAGATATCAAGTCGGTAGATATGCGGTATGTTTACTTCGTCGCCAAGTCAGATGACGGTCATTTTCAGTTCCACAAAGAGGTAAAGATCCTGCTCAGCTTCAAGAATGGAATAGTGTTCATACAGACGGACAAACCTATTTACACACCAAAACAGAAAGGTAAGATCTATGTCGCCATCGCGATGAACTAACGTTGAGCTAATTGCACAATCTTTGTTACCGAACCTTTATTGTTAAGCGATTTATGAGATTTTCGTTAATTTTGAAAGGGCCTTGTGCGGACACAGAGACACATAACCCCTTGCACCCTTATATCAGCTTTCATATTCTCTGCACTGTTCTCTTTACATCTCCTATGTTGCTGACAGAGAGAATTTGTTTGACATTCAGGAGCTTCTTAAATCAGTGATCGTTTCCTTCATTATCACGACCTTTACATTTGATTCAAGGGTGATACTGTAAGGACAAAGTAGAAGCCAGACATTCTTAGGGGTGAAAGGATTACGAAAATTCTGAAACTCCATCTGCCTCCCCATTTACCACACAGGGGTATACCTTCGGTTCCTCTTTGAGAATCAAACATTTGAGTGAAAGAACATATTCCTTTGTCACAAAAACTTAATCTAACTGAAAATATCTGTGAAAATATCTTTTTTTCATGGATACAGTGATTTCTCCTCGACCAAATTAAAGCAGAGAACTAAATTCGAATTGATTTTAAACGTAGTGTGAAGGACAAAAATTTCGTTCCGGCGTGCCATTAGCAGAGCAAACCAAAATATTTCACTTGAATGAGGAATGAATGAACACAACTCTAAAGATAAGTAATGTTGCGTAAATTATTGGTATAATTTTCTTTCTTTAAATAGAAATTTGACTTTAAAATATGAAAGTCTATGGAGAATCTTAATGTTACTAAGGCCTTTTGTTTTTTATCGTCCCCTTGCGAAAATAAATTTCTCTGCTAGATGCTACAAGTCATCTTGTAGCATCTGTAGTCAGAGAAAATCTTTGCACATCTAAAATGACCAAATTACAGCGGGGCAAATGCTCTGAGTGATTTTTTTATTCAGTTGATACATGTCAGGAAGCTCATTTTCTCGCAAAAATTAGCTGTTGTTTGAGCTCAGTCGTTCGTTGTCAGATACTACACTACTCGGCAATAGAGATAGGACGCGTCCATTTTCATTAAACAGCTTTCAGTTATAGTCTAAATTTCCTTTATTGATTGATGTTGCAATTGGCTCTTTTTCCTTCCTGCAGTTCATATCAGGGTGTTACCGCTCCAGTTTAACATGATGCCCTCCGGAAAAAATGTAAGAGCTTAGCAAAACGACGTCTTGAAAATAACATTTTATTTTGACTGCATTGGTTTTGTTAGAAAAATAATCGCGGCCGAACCAGGTCAACCTGGTTAAATATTGCCGATTAATAAATGAATAATTAACTAATAAATAAAGAAAGTGCTTTTGAATGTAGCCGCAAATTCGAAAAAACGAATGTGACCCTGACTTTAATTATCACTGACTTGGCTAGCCTGACTGCGGTCTAAAAGAAGAGGTTCTACCAAGTGATTCTAATTTATCTTTCAACTCTCTTGTAGAATAATGGAAAATAGTGGCTTCCGACGAAAATCACTTAATTTGAAGGAAGCTCATGGGTTATTTATATTAACTGCTCACCAAGCACCCTTTAAATGGTAGTCTTACAAAGTTTCGTTTAACGCAGTGTTGTCTCGCCGGAAAAAATGTAATGTTAAATTTGAAAACATTACATATAATTATCTGCCTGCGGATATCTGGTATTCCAAAATATCAGCAGACTGTCATTTCTCAGCTATGAATTACTTTGATTGTTAATTATTTCCCTACCTTAGTTCTGATATGGCCAATACACTCTTGCTATAGATATCAATTTGTAATTATGGCCACTAAATTGCAAACATCTTTTCCACCATACTACTGGTCGACCAATTACAATCCGAGCCTCAAATCTTTGATGTGAATTCATTTTTAATTAATTGTTGCCTTTTTTCTTTTGCAACAGATAACTTTGATGGTCCTGGTAAGCTTACTTCAGTATTCCATACATACATACAATAATTCTCCATCAGTTGTTTCATTTAAGAGCTCGCAACAACGTAAATGTCATCCGTAACTATATCGCATATTTTATATGCAGAATCCACAGGGAGTCAAAGTAAGGCAGTGGAAGGACCTTGAAACTAGCACAGGTTTCAAAAGACTCTTCATTTGATGAAATTATCATGTTGTTATAGTTAATTTAATACCTTCGAATCTTTACACCCTAACATCAGTATGCATGTTCTCCTTTCATTTCTCTACACATTTCCTAAGATGCTGACAAGGAAAATCTGTTTAACAATCAATCTCTAGTTGGTGATCATTTTCTTTATTCTCGTGACCTTAATGTTTGATTCAGGTGTGAAATTATATGAAGAAACTATATGCTATAGTCACTCATAGGGTTTAAATTTTTAACAATCTGGGCATAGAGCCCTTAAACGTGTCCCGGTTCGAACCAGGATTTCAAGAGGTATGACTGAAGAGAAGCTGCTGGAAAGCTGTATGTCTTAGTGGTCGAAAATTCAAAAGTATCATCATCCAAACGGTGAACACTCGTATGAGAGACGAGAGGATAATTGAAAAAATTGCCCCCGATTAAGTCATTTTTTTAAATTTGAATTTAGCAAGAAACCTAACTCTAATGTCCATTGTACATTTTTTTTTTACATTGTTTTTTGTTTTTGTTTTTTTTTTTAAAAGGTATTATATCAGAAGAATTTTCATTAAGCAATTTCATCATCTTGGGTAACTGGACAGTAACAGCTACATACGGTCATCAGGTAGGCTTTTCTTTGCCACAGTGTTGACAGCTTTTGCCCGCACAATATTTTTTTCAGATCACAGAATCACATGCCAACAAAGAGATGTAGATTTAAGGATAGAGGTTTCACACCCTGAGATTGAAAGGGGCAATTTAGATGAAATGACTAGCGTGTATTAAACAGCTTGAGCATAATCGATCAATCGAATGAAAAAAGGGGAAGTTTCAATGTGAGAAAGATAAGATAGATAAATCTTAGCGATTAAGCAAATGGAACCTAAAGCACATGTCTTGTATTAGTTCTAATACGTGTGTGACACCATAAACATTTCGTACGTCATTTTCGCATATTCGTGGAGAAATTTCGATGTTCAACTGGATTTTCAAGTTTTAGGGATGACTATTTCCAAGTTTTCAGTTAACGAACGCCAATTTCCACCGTTCTGTGTAAAGAAAATTGTAGACTCTTGGATGTGATAATTATTTTTAAAAAGTCCTTTATAAAGATAAAGATCAGATTAAAATTTCATAAACATTCAAAGGTTCTTGAAAGTACATATTCAAAAGGAAAAAATAGCATTAAAATTTGAAAACATAAACGTGAGAGCGAATATTTCGACTTTGTTTCAGGAGGTCAATCCCACACACTTTTTTCTTTTCTTTGCAGAATATTTATAACACATCTGTGCAATTCGAAGTTAAAGAATACGGTAAGTTTATGATTTCATTCTTCCGGGTTCTCTTTTCTCCTGATGACGTTGAATTTTTTAAGATTCTTTGATGACGTTTCAGTTCTTCCCAAGTTCTCCGTGAAACTCCAGGTGCCGCCTTACATACTGAAAACAGACAAAGACGTAGGGGTCCAGCTAAAGGCCAGGTATTGTTGACTACTCAATGATTTATAATTCGAACATGAACAACCTTTCATGGCTCAAAATGAAAATGGATATCAGAGAGTGAATAACCGACAAAGCGGGTAACACTTATTGGGACTATTGATCTCACATAAAAAAAAACAAACAAAAAAACAGATGAACCATCTTTTTGGAAAATTCCTTTCTCCACTTTTGTGCTGATTTTGTGTTGGTATTTTCAAATTCAGTCATGCATGCATTTTTCGACTGGTCAACTACTTAAACAAATCCAAAATGATCACATGAAACTTGTATCGCTTTGGGGAAAGGATGAATGATAAGAATAATGAAAATCGAACGCATCCAGGAAAATGATACAGGCGTGCACGAATTTGGAAAATACTCACGTTAAATACTTTCTAGTAGGTACATCCTTTCTGAGACAAGTAATCCAATGCTTTAGGTTTCACCTTAAATAAAAATTGGTGAACGTTTCGCAAACGATTTTTTATATGGAGCCGTGGAAAGGAAGCCATCAGTAAGGGAGAGCTTTTTCCTTTCCTTTATGCAACTTGCATTCCTCGCAGTAAAGCGAGAGCTTACGATTGAAAAACGTTAACTAGCCATGTTGCTGGACGTTATGTGCCTCGAAACATCGTTCTCACCTTAATGATTCTGTTAACGCAGTTTGAGGAAAACGTTCAAAGAACCAAAACCAAAATAAATCCCAACGACTTATGAGAACAAAGGTTTACATTATCATAAGAAGTTGAGGACGAGATTTCAAAAAGAGGCCTAAAAAAGGCACTACCTAGCAGCCCCATTGCACTATAGGTTCGACTTCGGATTATGATTGGCTGATACCCATAAATCATGGCTTCATCAGTTATAGTCACAAATTGTGGGGTCAGTGACTTGCTACACACTGATTTTTAAGGGGGTGAGGGTTGCTTTTGGAATTATCATTATGTATATGTTCAGGAACGTTTTTAGCAATATCTCCAGAACTGCTCGACCAAATATATATCTTTTTTTTTCTTCTCTTTGGGAGAGGGGGAGGTGGGAGTGGAATAACTTTTGCAGTTACTTAATGTGGTGTAAATGGGGCGTATTAAACCGTTACCATAGCCATGGTTACTAAGGAAACCAAATATGCTTTCATATCGATTTGCAGTAAAAGAGGACGATCATAATCTTTTTCGGGTCAATTGTTGATGTTTTTTGTTTCTAATTTTCTATATATATATATATATATATATATATATATATATATATCGCTTCACTCTTCTAAAAAATAAATAACGGTCTCTTTTAAACAGATGCTTGAATTTTTCGAGTTAACAACTGCCGTTATTTATTTTTAGCTATATATATATATATAGCTAAAAATAAATAACGGCAGATGCTGTTAACTCGAAAAATTCAAAGGCCATACGACAAAAATGTTTAAAAGAGACACGTGAGAAATACTATATTCCTATTTGAGGTTGGTGACGATTTTGGAGTCTATTTATTAACCAGATACCAATTTGCTGAGGTACATCTTAGATACATCACAAGATAGTCAGTTGAGCGCATGAAATTATCGATATCGTATTTAAATCCATCTGCTGTTATACCAGCCTCACACACAGGAGTGTAAAGTAAGCTCATCAAACCCTCAGCAGATCGAACAATTTCTAGTCACTTGTTCTCATAGGTCCTGTAAATGCAGGTAGACATGGTTGTTATTCAAAAGAAATTCCAAGCCTTTCTTTTTCCTCTCTGGCTAAAGCCACTTGTAATATCAAACCCTTTAAAGGCATGAAATGCTGGTAGAAGCTTACAACGTTCTTGTTCGAGCTTTTCTACTCGACAATGATTGTATTGGGAGATAGCGGAACATTTCCTTTGCCCCAGTGCGGAACCATAGCTGGCCTCATCTTAAATGATGATATGTAGAGGTTCAAAGGAAAGCTACATCAGTATCAGGTGACTGAATTAGAATGAAGCCATGCAGCATGGAGAAAAACTCTTATGTGTGTCGCCTCATTATGAAACTTCTCTGGTATATGGTAGAAAGGATGTTATTCATTTCACGCCACTGATGCTACTTCCTTCCAATTTCCAAAGTATCTTGCTGGAAACACCTTCCTTGCAATCCCTTACCAAGTGCTACCTACAAAAATTTTCAGTTTGGTCTTGTTCTCTATATTTGAGATAAAACTGTTCCATTTTTTTGAGGACTGGCGTGAATGAACTTGACATTCTCACTTGTTAACTAGTGGATGACGCTCCTCTGACGTGTTCGCCCTATTTAATGGAGTTCTCCTTGTCATAGTAATCACATACGATATCCACACAATTGCCGCCATTCTTCCCAAATGGGACAGTTATGACCTCGAAGTACTTATTTGCGAGCACTCCAAAAGTAACTGAACCCACATCCCTCCTCATCTACACAATTGCTATACCATCTATGATAAACGCAGTTGATAGTTCAGCAATATCATGTACATAAAGTCTTGAAAGCACCCCATAGCATGCTCCTTGTTGTCTTTCCCAATCAATGATTTCATATCTAAGCCCGCAGGTTTTCAGAATTGAGAAGACCCAAATCGTCTGGCTGTCTTGTAGGTCCATACTTGATGAATGATGAACACTGGGCACAAGCTCACGCACAAGCAGATTGGCTCCCCTATAAACCAACAACCTTCATGCGATCGGGAGCTCTAATCACTGACTCCCCGATCGACCGACCAATTCCTTGACATCAGGAGCTCTTACTAACTCCCCGATCGACAAACAAATTCCATGCGATCGGGAGCTCTTATCGGAGCTCATTGATCCACCCGATCAACCGACAAAATCTTTGCGATTGGAAGCTCTTATCAGAGCTCATTGATAAACACTATCAACCAACAAATTCCTTGCCATCGGTAAAACTCTTATCCGAGCTTCTAGAATCAACCGATCGACCAACAAATTCCTTGCGATTAGGAGCTCTTATCAGAGTTCATTTACCCACCCGATCAGGAGCTCTTATCAGAGCTCATTGACTCCCCGATCGACCAGCAAATTCCTTGCGATCGGTACCTCTTATTGGAGCTCATTGACCCCCCTGATCGACCAACAATTCCTTGCGATCGGGAGCTCTTATTTAGCAAATTGATCCAACCGATCAACCAATTGTTCGACCAAAAACTCCTTTGGGATCGGGAGCTCTTAACGGAGCTTATTGACTGACTTGAGCAGAGCACATTGATGCACACCACCAACGAACAAATTCCTTGTAACCGGGAACTCTTATCAGAGCTCATTTACCCACCAGATCGGGAGCTCTCATCTCAGAGCTCATTGACTCCCCGATCGACCAACAAATTCCTTGCGATCGGTAGCTCCTATCGGAGCTCATTAATCTACCCGATCAACCAAAAAAATAATTGCGATCGATCCAATAATTGGAGCTCTTATCGGAGCTCATTGACCTACCTGATCGACCAATAAATTTTTAGCCATCGGGAGCTCTTATCGGAACTCATTGAATCAACCGATCGACCAACAAACCTCTTGCGACCGGGATCTCTTATCAGAGCTCATTAACTCCTTGATCGACCAAAAAATCCTTTGGGATCTGGAGCTCGTATCTCAGAGCTCATTGACTCCCCGATCGACCGACCTTGCGATCTAGAGCTCTTATTTAAGCAAATTGACCCACCAAATCGACCAACAAACCTCTTATCAGAGCTCAACAGGTATTTTTCGAACGAACAACATCTCCCATTTATTCTTTTCAGCAATTTTGATAATAATTCACAAAATCACTTCTTTTTCTTGGTTTCTCAGAATCCTCAGAAAATATCGCCATGGTAACGGTTAATTAACCAACCGACATTGTCCCGCATTAAGAAGCTTCCAAAGTTGCATAATCCCTTCAGACTTTAATTTATTTTGTCAAATAGTTCCCAATGTAGTGATAAAACGTTCCTGAACACGTAGAGATTGATTCTTCCAAAAGCACTTCACCGCCACCAATAGCACTGAAGTCACTGACCCCATGATTTGTGACTACGACTAACATAGCGATGACCTCTGGGTATAAGGCCATTATAATCCGATGTCAAACCTTTTGTCTAGTTAGGTTGCTAAGAGGTCGATTTTTCCTGGCTTCTTCTCCTCCACTGTAGTCCAAAGGAAAACATGCAGACTACTTAACCCTTCAACTCCCAGAAGTGATCAACATGAAACTTCTCCCCATAATATCCTTACTTTATCCAGCAGACTGGTAATGAGAATATTCAAACTATCTTGATCTAACACCAAGTTCTCTAACTTATTTATAAGGAGATGTGTAGCAGGTGGTGGGGAGAATTTACAATCGGATCCTGTGAGTTAAAGGATAAGGCGCGGGTAAACGCGAATGACCAAGTCGCGATTGTTTTTAGTTTTAAATCCGATTTGTTCAGAGGATGACTTAAGTTTCCTGGAACAATCGCAAAGTTAAGCAAAATAAAAGCAATCCCGGCTTACTTTCGACACTTCATTGAAAATTGCTGTGTAGAAGTTACCCTCAGTAGCAAAGTCATCTAAGTGAGCGAAAAGTTCAGCTGAGCTGAGAGGTTGAGACATACTTAGAGTCTGCCAATGTATATATGACGTAGTACTTGCCATATCACACATATGTTGTTTCACCTATTCATTTTTCCTCCCCAAGTTACACTTATGGAAAGCCGGTTGTCGGGTCTGCGAATGTCTATTTGAGCATTGCTTTGAAAGGAAAGGTTATTCCGATTGCTACTCATCTAGTATTGGTAAGTGATTTCATTTCATTTCATACTTATGTAGAGAGGTTCTCTGGTGAAAACTGATCGTAAAAGAGTTGTTCAGGGATTATGAAATTGCATGGGTTCGTTAAATTTATTCAAATTCTGAACTTTTTGTTGAAAGAAAAGTATGAATGCTATGCTTAAAGTCTACTACTTTTCTAAAATCTGGATCGATGTCTGTAACTTAGCAGCTGCGCAGCGACTCCTCTCCTAACCCAATAACAGTCAACTGATAACAAGTTTGAGTTAATGTTGGGTTAGGGGAGGGGTAGGTGCTCATTTTCTCAGATACTGACATTGATCGAAAAATCTAATTGCTTAGACGGAATGACTGTTTCCTTTTTTGTGTGTTGATTTATTGGAATAGCTTGACAAAGGCACTGCTACAGTGGAAGAAAGGGTGAATTTTATTAAAAATGTGGCCGGAGAAATCTGGTTCCCAGAAGGTGGTAGACTTCATGTTCAGGCTGACGTCACAGAACGGGCGACCGGTGAAAAGGAGACTGCGGTGGATAAATCGTGCAAGTTTACATCAAACCCCTATCTGGTCGAGATCATAGACACTCCAAAGTACTTTAAACCTGGAATGCCTTTTACTGTGAAGGTGAAAGACACAAGATATGAATAATGACATTTCATTTTTTTTAGCTCTACACTTAAGGTATACGCATAATGTGAATCTACTGAGGGTGTATTGAAAAGTAAAGTCTTTGTAGAGCCTCTTACCCTCGCCTGTTAAGATATCGTTGATAATATTTGTTTGACGAGCTTCTCGTTCACAGCCTTCTCTACCACTACTGATAACCACTTCTGGAAAAGCTATTAAAATCCTTGAATTTGCCAAGCCGCCTATCTATATAAGAACTCTTCATGATCCATTCTCCACAGTTAGGGATTTTACTTTGACCGCATTTGCCATTTAGGCTAAGTATCATTCTGGTATGAAAAACTTTCTTTGAACTGTGTTTAAGGTTGTGGTGTCGCTGAATGAAAAGCCTACCGAGTCCATATCTGTGAGATTATCCGCCACAGGGAAAAGCTTGAAAGAAGAGAAACGCTTGACCACATTAGAGGACAAAACGATTGAGAACGGCGAAGTTGAGTTTACAGTTGATGCCTGCACCGACTGCCAAACCATTAAGATAGAGGTTTGAAAAGTTGATTTCTTTTCTTTAGGGACCGATAAATAATGGTAATTGAACTGAGTGGAGTGCAGTTTGGGCTGAAATCATACGTATGATTTCAAAACCGAACGAGTGCGCAGCGTGAGTTCGATTTGAAATCACAAGTATGATTTCAGACCAAAATTGCACGACACGAGGTTCAATTATCACTTTATTACATCCATTTTGAAATCGCCCAAATACAGGACTTGGTCAGTTCAAATATTTTATTGATGCAGTACTGAGCCGGTCTGAAATTAAATTCATCCAATTTTTGGGGGGGAAAAAGTAAGAGTTTGGAAACAAAAGTTGCAAAATTTGCCATATGATACTCTTTGTCTTTCATTTTCCTGCAATTTGATTGGTTACTTTAAACAAGCCTTAAAATCTGATTGGTTGTTCTGTTTTTAGTGTAGCCTCCTCAGTGGCAGCGAAAAAGATGCGATTTAAAACAAAGAATGATGCGATTCGTGAATAAATCGCACCATTTAGAGCCAATCAGATTACAGGGACCACCAGTGATTTCAAAATGGGTGTAATACATTTGAAAATTTATTGAGCTTGTTAATGCGTTAACAAATGTAACATTTATTGCGTATTGCTTTTCGACCGCGTAGTAATACTGATAATAACCCTCTTAAAAAGCCTTTTTATCTGATTTTCTGTTTAAAAATCAGAGCAGATTGTTTCAAGTCCAAAGTTTTGTTACGAATGTTTGTTTCGATGTAGGTTGAAGCCGTCAAAGAAAATACCCAACCCGCTCTGGCTAACTTCGTGCTGCAACGATTCGACGCAGAAAATGGACCACTGATTGTAATTCGTCATCCCCCGTCAGGAAAGTTGAAGGTAGCTGTTAATCGTGACGATGGTAATCGACTCTTTAACTCCACGTAATGACCATTATTCAAATTCTCATCGTAATATTAATACGTCGCCAAGAAAAAGGTGTAAAAAACACTGATCATGGAACTTGGATAATTTCACTTCAATACTTATGGCAGACGGCGAGGAGAATCGAAACGTAGGACTTAATAGTGAAGGATAAATTAAAGGCAATCTATGAGCCGGTTGTGTATTCAATGTCTATATGATGCGAAACTTCGTTCAAAGTAAGCAAGCTCAGTTTTCACTTTCCACCCGTAATATCTGCCTCCCCTTTGAAAAAGAGAGGAGGGCAACTCGTGAGCTTTCTCGTGCATTTTTTCAGTTTTTTGGTATAGTTCCATCATGTTCGGTTACTATAAAAGTTCATTTCGACTGTAAGAGAACGAAATACCAATTAAAACATTTTAAAAGCCAGCCGTGCGGTCGCCATATTTTTAGTGTGATCTGTTTAGATCATTAGTTGTGCTTGAAAAAAAAATCATTATTGGCTCAGGTAGTCGACAGGATTTCGCTTTACCTTTGAGAGGACCTTGATCTTAAACTCTACGATAGAAGTTTCTGCGCTTAATGCATAGCAAGACTTGAAAGTATTCGTTGCGAGCTTTGAACAACTTGTAAACCTTATCGTTTCCGAGAGGAATCAAGAAATTTATCATAATATAGGCAACTCGTGTAGTGTTGTACATAGCAAAGGAAATTACCTTAAATGGTTCGATGTAAACTGTCATTTAAGTGTTCCTTGGTATCTTCATGTTACTTGATTGATCTGAATAACCGTCATATTCATGGGCTGATAAATGGGACTATTGTTTGATTGGATGTGTAACAAAATGTCTGTTCTAAAATCACTTAGGTCGATGGCAAGTCTAATATTGAAACCTACCGGAAAAATGATGACAAAGCTGCCGTTTTTTCGTATGTGGTGAGTGGCTTGTTACGGTATAATGTAAACAACAGAAAGAACACTGTACTCCTTCAAACCCTTCTGATTTATGAAAACAACTTGTAATATTCTAACTAAGGAGCGACCCCTAAAGGCAATACGTTAATTATGGTTAATAAACTTAATAAACTCATTACAGTTTATATCTTGGCTCACCACTAACACAATCTCACAGGTGTCCCCGAAGTTCCATGAAATGAACAATCTTTCACAGTAGCTCTCTCGGTATAGTTTTCTAAACAGTCGGACACTCCTGACAACAGCACCTACTACTACTTTACTACACGAATGAGTTGTTATATACCTTTACAAAGTATTCCAAAACATTCCGAAAGCTTACAGCGCATTTATATTAGTATTAGTATTAGTACAGCATAGCTACTGAGCCAATAAAATGTTTTAAAAAGTTCCATGGTATGCATGTCAGCATTACTAAGCATTCTAGGGATACATAGTAACTAATATTTACAGTAATTACAGGCTTTAATACGATTCTTTTCTTTCCTTACACCCTTTGCAGAGGTTTTGCAATATCTTTGGTTAGTTAAGTTTAGGTCATCTCGCGCCAAAAAGCCGATGTGACAGAACATAATTAGGAAAAACAGACTCACAATTCCCGTTTTCTTTAACAGGGAAACACCTTCATTTCTGAAGCTTTGAAAAGGGTCTTCAGTTAAAACAATAATGTTTTCATTCATTTCAAAAAGTTCCCTTACTAACGTTTAAATGGTTCACTTAACTAGGTGGTTTCAAGGGGAAGGATTCTTTCTCACCACACCACTGAAGTGCTTGCGGACGGCTTTAAAAGCGAAACAAAAAGCTGGTCCCTTCAAATCACTCCTGAAATGTCACCATCCGCGCGTTTGATTGTTTACTATATTCACAGCAGTGGACGAGTCGTAGCTGACAGCATTTTGCTTAAAGTTGAGGAAAAACTCCCGACAACGGTATGCCATAATAATTCAATAATAATAATTCGAGTATTTCTGTAGTGCTATTTACATAGAAATGATCAGTGGTGCTTTACAATGATTCACCTATAAAACTATTCTACAGCTATCTAAGTATACCATGAAAAATGTAAATGAGACTTAAAAAAAAAATAAAAGAAATCAGGTTAAATATTGCTCATAAAAACTCAAATAAAATAAGATTTGTGGTCAAAAACTTTTAAAGAAAAACCTGACCAAAAAGGTAGGTATGATTATGAAATAGGAATGGGCTAATAGCATAATGAAATAGGCTAACTACTTGCAAGAAGATTGAACTGACTCACAAATACCATACTGGCACTCAACACAGCTTAGGAGAAACGTATGCAAAAGAGAATCTTTATTGGACAGTTTGCTATCGGAAAGTTCAATAAGTCAATCACATTCAAAGTTGTAGTTTAAATCAACTAATCTCATTCGAAATTGTAGTTTGAATCAACCAATCACAACCTTGGTTTCCATAACCATAGAATTTGTCTGTCTTTTAATGAAAATTTTCCTTTTCTTTCATAACTTGGCTATTTTTCCTTCGTCGGAAAATACAATTTTTATGATTAATTGGTAAGAATTCGTGTCGTCCAATTTGATCTGTAATGATACTCGTGATAAACAAATCGTACTCCCGCTGCGCGTTATCACTCGTATGATTACAGACCGAATTTGTACTTCACTCAGTCCTATTACTATTACTTAGAGGAAAAGATTTAGAGGATTTCTTGAAGGTTTGGCACAAATTTCTTGTTCGTAACTGCAGAGTGAAGCTCCCCACATGTAGCTCAATTACGTATTCAAAACTCGTTGCAGTTTTGGTTCTAGAGCTTCATGGTTTAATGTTTACGGCAAGCAACCGTGTTGAACTTGACATGTATGCATGTTACTCGATTATGGAAAAGTTACTGCAACATTTGTCTCTTCCTTTTCTTGACAGGTTGAGTTTACTTATGAAGGCAAACACGGAGGTGAAACTCAAAACAAAGTTGAGACACAACCTGCGAAAAATCATGTGATTAAACTCAGGGCCCCTAAAGGAACGCGTCTGGGAATCCTAGGGGTGGACAAGAGTGTTTATCTACTGAAAAACGAGAATAGACTCAACAAAGAGCGGGTAACTCAATCAAATCATGCTTTGGTATAGACCTTTTTTATGATGGATGAATGAATATTCTTTCATAGAAACACAAATTAGCCTGCCTGGCTCCGCTTTTAAGAGCCTGTTCCAGGCGTTCGGTAGTTGAAAGGAAGGCTATAGTAAACGATGCGATTGTAACGGCGAAACGAAATTAACCCCTCCCCTCCCCCCCCCCCCCCGATTCCCCCTCCTTTTGTGAAAGAGGATTATTCCCTATGTTATCTAATACGGTGTTAAACTGTGCTGTACAAAGTTTGCATTTGCGTTATAAAAGATTGATTTCGTTCGCGCTCATTGCATCTGAACATCCTATCTAGTGCGTTCACTTCTTCGTCTTTCCTTTCTTTCTTTACGTCTTAAATGTTAAGTCCATTTAGCGACGATGATTGAAGAGTTAACCATTTAACTTCCAGAAGTGATTGACATGTAACTTCTGCCAATAATATCCATACATTATCCATTACACATTAGGTGGTAACATTAGCGATTGAAATTGATCCCTGAGATTTTGCATATTCGTAATCTTCGATTCGTACCTTATACACTAGCGATTGATCCAGTTTTAATAACGATTTGTGTAAATTTGAACCAAATATTGACTCTCCATACTAACGTGCGGGTTTTGCAACTGCAGAAACTTGGCGTGAAAAAGTACAGTTAACCCTTCGATCCTCATAGGATGGTAGAACATGTATTTCAGCAATGAAAATTATTGTGATCACGCGGCTATACTATAAAAGTAGAAAAGGAAATTTAGTTCCCGGAAAAAATCTTTGCCGAGCGATTTTTTGCTTGTAGTAAGGTATCTAAAATGGGCGCAAAAAAGAGGTTTATAAAAAAAGTATAATATTTGGTACTTTGTAGCCCCGTAATATTCAAAAGATTTACCATTAACTGGTTAATTCCTAATAACCGTTAAGACAAAAATCAGTCTCTGGGTTTACAAGTAAAATGTATTAAGGTCTTGGTTCTCTAATCAGGTTCTTAAGGCCACTAAAGAACTTGATCTTGGCTGTGGTGTCGGTGGAGGAAAAAATAACAGAGACATTTTTAAGGTTGGTACTCAAAATAATGACATGGAACGTGAATCATTGAAAATTTTAAGTGACGAAGAGATCGACATAGATAATAAGATGATAACATGTCGGCTACACGACATAGCCTGTGTGTAGCGGATGGCTTCCTCCATGGAGGGAGACACTACTTGTTCATACATTTTGGAGAAAGAAAGGATAATTCTCTCTGTTGTTTAGCGGAAATGTTAAAAGCCTAAAGTTTCTCAGTTACAAGATTGAAATTCACTCATGGCCGAAGACGTACCCTGGTATATGAGACGAAGAACATGCGGCGCTGAAACTTTTCATTTGATTATTTACATTTTCATCGATTTCTCCATTCTCTACTTTCCTGTCAGAGGGCTGGTGTTGTCATCATGACGGATAACTTTGTTAGCGATGGAAGAAATGGTGAGTTGATTATTTGAACTCTTGTTAATTCGAAGCAAAATAGGTATTACATTAAGTTAACACGACGAATTTCTTTTCACCCTGAAGCTCGAACCATTTCATTACAAGTACCAATCTATTTTCCTTAATAATGTTCGAAAATTTAAATTTGTGATTCTTTTTACTTCTTGCGTCAAAAAATATAAAAAATACTCGACTATGTTCGATAACATTAGCAAGTTTGAGGGTCGGTTATTCAAACAAAGTTTAGCCATTTTTTAACAAAACTGCGTCCCAAACAATCCTCAATTTAGCCGAACCTTTTCGTCTGAACATTCATTTTTGCGAACAGTGTAAGAGGTCTGAGAGCTAAAAGTGGAAAGACATTATCTAATCAAATCAACCCTCTTATAGAGAAAGCCTAAAACCGCGGTTTGGGTTAGACCTCGGGTAAATAACCAGCACTAAGTGTTTGTTTAGGATAAGATAACCATAGGACGTAATAACTTAAATAATAATTTATAATAATCATTGATAATTTAATAATTTTCATGATAATTCTTTTTACTTACCGTAGTAGGGTAAATATGCACGACTTTAGTGTGCCTTGAGATCATTAAGTTCCAAAGGCTGTGTGCGAAGGTTTCAGCTTGATATATAAGTCATGATTTTTAACAGATTTCATCTTTGATGAATACAATGGTGATAAGGCTAAGCACCTTAAAGTTGTGATGTCTTTTTTTATTATTTTTCAGGCTATGGCTGCGATGAAGATGGTTCTCGAAGAAAACGGAGATCATCGGCAGACCCAGGTAGAACTGAAAGCAGATTTGAGTTTAGTTTCCATATGATCACCACAATTGATACAGTCTTGATATTGTTGACAGTAGAGACGTTTATTTCGCAGCTTTGCTTGGATCATAAAATGTGGATCGTACAATACAATATTCTTTATTTAACGAAGGTGGCGTAATTAACCTAATGAGTTATCTAACTTACGGCCTTCACAGCAGTACAAATACGTATATAAAATAATGACTAAACAGCAAAACGACATACTGGGAGAGAAACTAAAACTAGAAATTGCATGGTTTAATATAGATATAATATGATATAAACAATTACTTCCTAATACTGTTACAATAAAGAGAAGAACGACAATCATAAGGCATTAACCCGACTAAAGGAATAAGATACGAACTCTATGCTTTAATTTAGATGAAAAAATAGTAGAAGAAAGAGATACACTGGCTATTCGCTCAAGATCAGTGTCAAGGCTATTAAAAAGGGTGGCAGCAGAGTAAGCAAATTTGCGTTTTCCAGAATTAGACCGCGGGAAGGGAACTTGAAGATTAAAAGCGCAAGTTCTAATGCGCAAACCAGTTGAACGAACGGAAGACAAGGAATTGAATTTACGTTTAAGACAAAGAGGAGCATCAGGATCATTAAGAATAGTGAATAAGAGTACAAGTTTTCTTAGTTTTATAAGGTCGAAAATAGGAAGCCATTTGAGTTTGGAAAATAAGTTTACAGATGGTTGGAAGAAGTCGTCATTAAGGAGCAGTCTAGCTGCACGTTTTTGATGGCGAAGAAGACGAGACAATAAATAACTAGAACAACTATCCCATAGTAGGGAAACTACATTGAATGCCTATAAAGGATCAAAAGGCTTGGTTCGTAACATTGTTTAGATTCGATATGGATAATATGGAAACCTTATCAAAGACCATACAGAGTATCTAAACAGTTTAGTTACTTAATAGGGCTAAATCTTTCTAATCACCAATTTCGGTGTCTGTCTCTTAACCCCAGGTTCAATTGATGCACCGGAAAATAACTTGTTTTCTAAGAATTTCACCTAGTAGCGTTTAGGGATGATTTGAAGTAAATTTTGCTTGATTTCAAACTTGAGGCTCGGTTTTTTTTCCTTCAATTGTGCACTGTTACTATTAATCCAACAGTTATGAAGATGTGCTGTGAATGGGGAAGAAAAGCTGGTGGAAATGTAACTTGCGCGAAACTTTCGTTGGACGCCAACAAAAATTTGCCTGATGACTGCAGGGAGGCCTTCTGGACCTGTTGCGTAGAAACGTATGGCAGAAATGGTAAGTAAAAACAGCTTTGCCTCCCTAAATTCAACCCAGTTGTTAAACTGCATGCTTAAGTCTTGCGCCTAAACTGTTGGGAAAGGAGCTTAAATTATTAAAAAAAAGAAGAAAAAAGATGAAAAAAAAATACAATTAGCACTCATACTCATACTTTTCGATTTGACTGCAATATTTCAATGAATGCTTTGCCTAAACGTAATATGACAGAAAAATATCGGCGATAGTGATGGTACTGTTAGAGTTCGACCAAAGTGCGTTACTCTGAAAAAATGGAGATACGTTTTTAGAACTGCGACCTTAATATCTTTTATCATCAAAAACATCTGTTTTTGTATTTATCATTATATCATATATGATATCATACACATTATAACAGGTAGAGTTCAGTGAGCTCTGAACCATACCTGGAAAAATTCCAAACTATATTCCAATGCTTCATTTTTTCTATAAGTTGAGACAATTCTTACCGCGTAGATTTTGAGTTATCAACCTCGAGAATGGCAGTATGTTTGAAGTTGATTTGCTAACGAGTTTTGACGACAAAAACAACCTTTACACCCTAACATCAGTATTTATATTCTCCATACTGTTCTCTGTACATTTACTAAGGTGCTGACGAGGAGAATTTGTGTAACAATGAAGAGTTTAAAAGGTATGTTTTTTCGTTTGTCTTACGATGTAGTCACGTATGATGTAGATCGCAACGTTTCGACTGCATACTGCTAGTCTTCTTCAGGTGATGAGGTCGACTGGTCATGCGCGATGGTATAAAGTATGATGCTCTGCTGTGATTAGTTGTTTTTTCAACAGCTCTGATTGGTGCATTTCGATCCTTGCTGTTCACTCAGTGATTTGCTCCCCCGGCGGTCCGCTGTCGCACGGCTCTCCTGTTGTTGTGTTTTTTGATCGTGGGCATCCACGCTTCTGGAATTTCTATTCCACTATCCCTGTTGATGTTGTTAGGGTGAAGCCTTATATTGACCCTGCGCATGTAGTAATAAGGGTCACGATCAATAAACTTTACTTCGTTCCAAAGTGGCTTGTGTCCGGTGTTGTGGGCATGCTCTGAAACGGCGGAGGTCTCGGTACGGGCGAGTCGAATGTCTCGATCGTGCTCCTTAATTCTGTCTTGCATAGGTCTTCCTAGATTTTCAGCTGTTGAAAAAACAACTAATCGCAGCAGAGCATCATGCTTTATAAGATCACGCATGACCAGTCGACCTCATCGCCTGAAGAAGACTAGCAGTATGCAGTCGAAACGTCGCGATCTACATCACACGTGATTACATCGTGAGACAAACGAAAAAACTTAGCTTTTATTGTTATTCACCGCGATGAATAATCACAGCCTTTTCTACTAAATGAAGAGTTTCTTTAGTTGGTGATCATTTCCTCTATTCTCGTGGCATTTATGTCTGACTCAGTGGTGATATTGTAAGGACAAATTAGATGCCAGTCACTCTAAGGGGTTAAAGGTTTAACGATCTTTACGATATAAAACGGCGTATTTGATATAAAGACTGAAAAGCGACTTGTGTTGGATAAAACGTTTAGATTCCGCCCTGCTTGGAAGAAGTGGTGCACCGAGTGTAGATGATGATGAGCGGTACCTCGCTGAGGAAGGGTATCAAGTTAGAACCGACTTTCCAGAAACCTGGCTTTGGGATGAGTGTGTCGTTGGGTAAGATGATAAACTGATACAAAATTTATTATATTAGCATTATAAATATTATTATTACTATTATTAACGTAAATTTGTTGATCATTATCAAGGATTTTTAAACGTATCGATGGCTATGAATAAGCACACACTCAAATTCATGAAATAAAAAACGAAACAAGCGTCGAAAAAATTTATTTAACCAAGTACGTATGTGCATGTAGCGTCGAACAAGAAATTTATTTCTCAGGTTGAAGTTATTTTCCTTGTCAAGATTACTCTAATCTATGTAAAATTCACTTTGGCATTCTTCAGAGTTAAGTATACAGCTTACCTTTCACACGTTACTGAAAGAGGGGTTTCCTAAGATAGATCCCTTGTGAAAAGCCCACAGCTAAAACTGACTTAGAAGGCCACGGTTTCATCATTTTTCAGTCGCTCCGTGATGTACCTCTGCAAAACTAGTGAGAAATGTGACTCAGAACAAAAAACTTTTCAAACAGAGCGCTCTCTGAAGCGTCCGCTCGCTACCAATGTTCGCTATCAACCAAATGTTACGACTTCTATTTTGAGTTTCCACGAAAAACCTCAAGAACCGACCATAAAAAGAGTTGAACAAATATAATTTACAACTGTTACTCCTTCAATGGCTTGACAAAAAATTGTCTTACCTTTCTACAGGGAGGATGGAACTGCAGAAATAAGAGTCACGACACCCCACACTATAACCACCTGGGTCATACAGGCCGTGGCCATCAATAACGAAACAGGATTGGGCCTTGCCTTACCGCTACAGATTGTTTCAAAGAAAGATTTTTTTGTTTCTCTCACAATGCCTTATTCGGTGAAAAGAGGAGAACAGATTTCTATTCTGGCCACAGTTTTCAACTATAAGATAAATAATGGCAATCAATATCGGGTAGGCTTAACCTTGGCGGTTATTACATTATTATGTTCAGGTGACGATGGTTCGGTTATACATGAGGTCATACCATACCATAAGCCATGATTTTACTTAATCAGTGGCCCTTTAGGTTTTCCCTCTAAGTGCATGGACCGATTTGACCAAATAAATGATCTTTCTACTGTCACTGTTCACAAGAATAAATGTCCAGAAAAAAGGTTCGGCTAAATTGAAGATGGTTTCGAACGCAGTTTGATTAAAAAGGGGTAAACTTTGTTTTAATAATCAGACCTATATTTCTAAGCGTACCAAACGTTATAAAATACGGCTTCAACATCTCACCCTGCATAATTCATTTTCCGAGTGCGTCAGTTGGCTCACATTTATTATTGGTGTTTACCCCAATACATTGGTCTTAGAACTGATAGAACTTAGTTCTCGTACCTTAATGTGTGCTTCAGGAGTGATATTGTAAGGCGAAATTAGGTGCCAGTCACACTTTGAGGTTTAGAGGACCAAGCGAGTGCTTTATCATAACTGACTAAGCTAGTCTTTTTTTTTTTTTTTCTTTTTTTTTTTCATTTCCTGTACTTAGTATTTTATTACAAATGTTCATTTACGAGTAAATGAACCTTTTGAGCCAAATGGGTCATTCATTGCCTCTGGGAAAACAGTACTAAACATTCGTATGGTTCATTTTCTCTCCAAAAGGCAAAGGTATACCTCAGAGGTAACAAAGACTTCTGTTCCACTGCTGACGATGACAGCCTTGTTTTGATCGGAATACTCTACCCTCAACCAAACGATGCCAGATCTGTTGCAGTCCCAATTATTCCCAAAACAGCTGGAAAAATAGAAATCGAAGTCACATCGATTCTTGAAATAAAAGAAGGTAATAAAGACTTTTGGGAAAAAAGGGAAGTGGATGCCGTAAAACGAGAGCTTCTTGTTGTGGTAAGTGAGTTTAAATTTGCAGAATATAATTACGAAACATTTTGCTTACTTTATATGGAAGGTAGAGAAATACTATTTGCTTTCTATTCCTCTCAAATAAAAAATGAAAAAAATTCTGTCCTAATTCAAAGAAGATATTTACGTAACACGAGCGCCTAAAGTTCAAAAGTGAATCCTTAAATGTATATCGTATCACGTAAAAAAATCCTTCTGGAATATGTGATTTGTAATTGAGCACTTTTGATGTGAATAAGCAGAATAATGTTTTAAATGTTCAATCAGTAAATATTCTTACGTGGAGAAGTGAGGTCGCTATAGAAAGAACCAGCAGGGTTCGTACAGGCGAGATTTGGTATTTAAGCCCTGTTTTAAAAAAATTAATTGTTCTTGCATAACTTGGAAAGACAAAATCATGTTGAAGTCATGTGTTTTTTCGGTCTTAACTTACCTCAACTTTCAGTGTTAACTTTTTTCTTTTTAAATTTATGCCATTGCTTTCTGTATTCTTTCATAACTATTAGCCAGAAGGAAAGGAAAATCGTACTTCACGATCCTTTACACTGGATCCTAAAGGTAATTCATTTTGAACTTCCCTCCTCCTATGACTCACAGTTCCATGCTCTTGAGATTGGTGCAAAAATGAAAGTGCAAAAAAAACAAAAAATAATTGACTGAGGAATTAAACAAGGGAGCCTGAAAAGTTTAACTTTTAAATAAAAAAGTCAGTTTATAAATGCAGGGTTCTTTGCAAAGTTTAGTCTGAGAAAGCATTGTAATTTGACTTGTCGTCTTGTGTATTTCTGAAATATTGGTCAGTCGGTCGGTCGGGCAATGGGAAACGAAAAATTTCTCAGGGATGGCCCTCCGTGATAGTTATTGATATAGATGTTCTTTGCTTTCACGCGCAGGAATTCTCAATGATGACAGTAATAATGGAGGACTCAGTTCTAACACATCGCCAAGGAACATTTCAAGTATGTTTCATCTTAAATATTTTGGAGGATACAATTTTGTTGCCGTGAAATTGAAGGGCATCAGCAAATTGCGTGTCCGCTCTGTTTGAATTACACGCAGTATTGTTAAACTACGAAACAACTGCTAACAACTGCCATACAATCCAAAGGGGCGTTACAGCACATGCGACAAGATGGACGAATTTTGTTTGCAAAGGCTTTTTTAAGTTTTCCACCAAATAATTTAATTTGAGGAAATCTCTGGTCTAATTCATGGGGCATGTTTTGAATAAATATAAGGTTGTCAAAAAGGAGCCTTTTTTTATTATTCTGTGGTGCTATGTGTATTTCTAAAACCTAAAAGATGACACAAGTAAATGTTATTTATTGTAGTTGACTTCGCAATCCCCCCTAAAGCCATAAGTGGTTCAACTGGAGCTGTCGTATACTTGACTGGTAAGTCAACATACAGAATTTAGTAAATAATTGAAGGAATTATGTTTTGGCTTTTAAAAAAAAAAATCATAAAATGTTTTACTTTTAAATTTTAGGAAACCCTGATGAAAAAAGCTATCGTTTGTAAATATTTTCTAATCTCGATGAATTCCAGGCAAATTTTTACCTGTTGCGTTCGTTTGCGCAGTGCCAACGCTGTTTACTGTAATGTGATTGACCACTGTCTACGCGATGTAAATTATAAAGGGAGCTGTGGTAAAGTTTTGAACACGAAAACCGTGAACGTCCAGCAAATTATCTCGCCCGAAAAGAAAAGAACAAATACTGTGGCCATGATAATAAAAAAAGCCTTGGGAAAATGACAACAAGACTCTCACTTAGTGGGAAATCGAGTTGTATGGGTTCATAGTTGTTCCAACTCTATATTCCATTTCCATCAGGAAACCTTCTTGGTCCAGTTATAAACACGACTATCGAGGGGGGTCTGGAGAAATTTTTCCGCCAACCTACTGGATGTGGGGAGCAAACAATGCTTTTTCTTGCCCCTAACGTGTACGTTCTAGAATATCTTATGAACACCAAACAGATCAGTGGCGCAAGCGCAGAAAGTGCATACCGCTTCATCCAGTCAGGTACGTACAGTTTTCTTTCTAACATGAGACACTTAGTTTTTTGTCAAATTTTAGTCTCCCCTAAAGGTTCTCTTAGCGAGAAATCTTTTTTATACTACTTTCTTCTAATTAACAAATATAGAAGCCTTGTCTGTGTTCTGTTCTGTTGTAAAGCACTTAGGGAAGCGGCTAGAGCACGAAAGATGTGTAGACAGAACAGAGCACAGTCAAGGCTTCTCTATTTGTTTTATAATAAAGAATCCGTTAAATTCCTCAAGCATTACTTTCAATTTTCAAAACAAACATTATTTCCAAAGCGAACAACAGTGTCGTCAGCATGCTCTCTGCTCCTATTAAGCAAGCTACAGTAAGCCAATCAGAATCCCTGTTGGGATGGTTCAAATAATCTGATTGGCTGTACAAGACCAAAGCTGTCAAAAATTTCAAACCATCAAAGTTCACATTCTGCAATAGTTTACAAACTTAATAGTTCGACAGGTTGAATTTAACTCTTTTGGCTGAAGTTTCTAAGTCTCTGATACAGAATCTGATTGTGAAATGTTTTGTGAAATGCGGCCGAATTGTGGCTCATAAAAACACGCAAGTTTTTCAACATGACAATTAGAAAACAAACTGTTCAAGCGTGTGTTTTATGAAGATTGCTCGGGATGACAGAGCCGTAACACTCGGCTGCAGTGACGCATCGGTAAGGATATCAGAGCAAGCTCTTAGTTTTTCTCTCGAAAGGCGGCCGATGTAATTTCTGAGACTTACTTGACTGCGATGACCGGAGATCACCCCGATGAGCTAGCTGCGTTGGACCTCAGCGTGATCGCGGTCGCTCTGACACCGTCATGATTAGAATGAATTTTAACAGTTATACTAGTTTGGCTACATTGTTCATAATTCCTGTTTTGTTCTGTTTTGTTTTTGAATACGAAACTGTATATACTACACAAGTGTTAGCTGTGTTTGATTTTTATTACCGTGCGTAAGCTTGCGATCTAACCGAGTGTGAAAATATCCAAAACAGTCGGACTCTACCTTTTGATTTCTCTTTGATGATTTTCGTCTCTTCTCACGTTATAATAACGTCAATTACGGCGCCTGGCATGTTTACAAACCTTTGTTTGGTTCTTCTGTTGCTATCTGCCGATTCGCTTGTTCCGAAATTTCACTTTCAATTAAAGAAAAAAAACCTAGAGAAAAGTCTCAGAAAAGGTCGAACATAGTATAATTTGGCAGACGGCGTGACAACTTTAGCTCAGCTCTATGCTCTGTACTCTCATAGAGCACGCTCTTTCAACCAATGGCAGCGCGCGTTGTATCAGAACTTTATTTTTATTGTATAAAGTACGGTGTTACACAAGATTTCCAGCCCTGAGAAAAGCCGTAACAAACACACGTGTTTTCACGCGTGTTGGTTATCGCCAATCAGCTGATGGTAATCATAGGCTGCAAAGGTTTCATTTCAGATTTCATTTTCTACAACGAAACGCGGCGTGAACTATTTAAGATGGTTCAAAATAGTTTGCATTACCTTTGCCGTGAAACTTCATTGCTATTTACTTCCTTAGATATAATGGCTGTTAGCTATTTCATTTTAGTGGCTCTCTCCTTTAAAGAAAGCTGTAATATTGAATTTAACATAAGACAAGGGTATTTCAGTTTCAAACCGGGATAATGACACCCATAGAAAATTGCAGAGTACTTTCGACAGGTTATTTTGATATGTAAATGTAGCGTGCCGCAGTCCATGTTTTCGGGATTGCTCCAAATTTTTACAAGAGAAATCTATCAGTAGCTAGTCTCTCGTGTTAAGTTAGCCTATAGCAAACACAACAAAATCAACGGCGATTAACAAATTAACATAAATGGTTTATTATTTTATTGCAAACCAATCTTGAAATTTAAGTTTCATTTTCAGGTTATCAACGTGAATTAAACTACCGTCGTGACGACAGGTCATTTAGTGCATTTGGAAATGAACGACCAGGAAGCACATGGTTTGTAAACTCATTGTATCAGCTGTATTATTCCATATTTTCATATCGACCTGCCCTTTCAGCTAGGTATAAACAATAGTCTCTTATAATTAATAGTCTTTATCTGGTGCGAAAATATGCACGGATGTCCGCGGACATCAGCCGATTCAAGATGCAAATGGTTTTCTAAGAGCAAAGCTCGAAGAAAAGTGTGAGCTACAAGGAACATATAAGCCCAAGGACAAATATATGACCATACATTTGCTCCAAATGGAAGCTATTGTGTTTATTATACTTTAAATTATTTTGCAAGGCGCAGGAAAAATATTAACGAACAGCTTAACGTTTGCTGCGTGAGATGTTACCTTTTCAGTGTTCACTAATACTACTTAATGATCAAACAAACATGTCCCTTTCTGTAGCAACGGCTAACGGTTTTACCTTAGGTCCGAAAGAGTATCCTCGACTGGGAAGGAAAAGATAGGCATAAGGAGAAGTGTCAAACGAGGGAAACGGTTAGAGATTACAGAGCACAGGCAGAGAAAAATTTAGGCATAACGGTGGTAGAATTAATATAAGCTCGGATTGGCATAAGAAGTTCGTCCATTTCAAAACCGCTGGTTGTGAGATTATCCAGTAAAAAGCGTTTAAACGCACCTGTGAGTAGATCTAACTCGCTACAGTACTCCTGTTGGTGTTTATACGTGATCTAAAACCGTTAAAATCAAACAGCATTAAATAATCGATTTTCACGTGTCAAACACTGGTTAGACAACGACTTTCAAAAACGCTGTGTAAAATTGCTTAAATAATGGGCCCTTTAGTTCTGAAACGTTAGCTAATCAGTTTTTCTATGTGTGCGACCAAGGTTGACTGCTTTTGTGATGAAGGTCTTCTGCAAGGCTAAAAAGTTTTTGGGTGATGAAATTGAAGAAAAAATGCTGTGCGAGTCTGTGGGTTGGCTGATTGAAAACCAACGCAGCGATGGAGCTTTCCCCGAGGTTCACCATGTCATTCATAGAGAGATGGTGGTAAGAAGAGAAAAGTCTAAGAAGTTAAAGATGTAAATATGGTCTCAACCCGAAATTGAGGGCAAAAAAAGTTTTTTTGTTGTTGTAAAATTAGGCACAATCACCCAAGACTCTGTGATTTTTTTTTCCTTTCGAATGGAAACGGCGTTTTTTCTTTTTTCATTATCTCTACATTTGCTTGCCTTTAAAGAGTGTACCGCTGTATTTATGCACAGCAGCCCGTTCGGGCCTTAGTACCGCTGTCTCCAAGGCGGCCATGTTGTTTTGTTGATACAAACGTTCGGTATCCGCCGCTTTCGCCCCCTATCGAGTTCGCCCCTTCGAGTTCGCCCCTACCTTATACCGTGTTGGCCCCCACATTTTTCGAGTTCGACCCCCACCAAGTCGAGTTCGCCCCCAGATTGAGTCATGTCTAAATTAGTTGCTATCGAACATTGCAAACAAGTTAGAACCAAGTTTATTTACCGAACATTTCGTGTTCGTTAGATAAACCGAGGTTGGTTTGCATCTTTTCCAGTCTGAATAATAAGTTAAGCAATGTTGTTTTGATTAAGTGTGGTTCTCTTTATCACAAGTTCAGTTTATACAGTTATTTCTGGTATTCCCAGATCCCACGCATAGTATTTAGTTGATTCCGTCAACCCAGTTCCCAAGCAGGTTCACGCAATTGCCGAAATTCAAAATGGTCGTCGCTGACGTGACATTTGGCACATTCTGCTAGTGCCTTCGTCACAAATCAACTCATGTGGATATCACTCAATCAAGGGGGGAACTCGACTTGATGGGGTCGAACTCGAAAAGTGTGGGGGCGAACACGGCATAAGGTAGGGGCGAACTCGAAGGGGCGAACTCGATAGGGGGCGAACGTGGTGCAATTCAAACGTTCTCTTGTCGTCGTGGAACATTCATTGCGTATGTTTTCATGACTCCTTTATGAAGAAACAACCTCCTCGCTTTAGATCATTAAAAAAATCAAAACGAGGAGGTTGTTCTTCAGCATTGCCCAAAATTGATCAAAAAGAAAGGATGAAAAATCCTTTCACAGTTATTTGCTAACCAAAAATCGTTTTTTTTTTTCTCGTGAGCGTAGATAAACAATAGCGAGCTTATTATCTATTTATTTAATAGTTAGTTTATGTTTGATACTTACGGACACTCATGTCAATTTACATTCCAGGGGGGTGTATACAATTCAGAGGGAGACGTTGCCATGACAGCCTTCGTGTTATCTGCTCTGCTGGAATGTAATTGCAAAGCGGTATGTTAAAATAATTTCATAGAAATGTATTATATTGCAATGCGTTAAATTATAGTGCAATCAAATGCTATGCGATGTAGTGAAATGTAAACAATTGCGGCGCAATATTATCAGGAGGACGCCCCTCATAGTTGCAATTTTATTTTCGATTTTTGTCCCGACGAGGAGTGCTGCTTCCTCGTATATCAATGCCGACCAAAACAATTTAAAACAAGCTAAAATTCGGCACTATTTTTTTCCCTCTTAGGTTTCACAGGCGCACTTACTAAGAGCCACAAACTTCTTGGAGAGTCGGTACAAAAACTTGAATAGACCTTACAGTATGGCTCTCACGGCTTATGCTCTGAGCTTGGTTGATAGCAGAGAAAAAGTCGATGCTAATGATCGACTTCTTCAAAGGTCTCAGTACGATGATGGTTAGTTTTTACTTTAGTCCTTATTAACTTCGTACAGTAATAATAGAATGTACACATAAATGTATGTAATTTGGTCTAATTTCATAGATTCCATCTCTTATCCAGGTTGCTCCGCCTGCTTGTCATAACGCGATGACGTCTTCGTGACGAGAAACTTTATTATCACATATATATTGTTGTCGTGCTCATCATGATTGCAGTGTGGTAGAGAAAAACATTGACAAACAAAATCAGCGATGCAGGTTGGACCAAGGTTCTTCAACTTCTGCAATTGAGGAGAAAAAAATGAATTATCTAGGAGTTAGACGACGAATTCTGCACGAAAATAACCCTTCCGGACCTTGCATTTGACAAAATTTTCCCACGCACTGTTATTTTCTTCGCCACCTGGAAAATTGATGACCGTGATTATTGAAATCGATTCTTTTGGCTTTTAATTCGAGTATTTGTCTAATGTGAGGATTTTCTACGGTCAACGGGGTCTGCTTAGTTCAGTTTTTGGGCTGATATGGTTTCAGTGATTCTGCTGTCCTAGCTCAGTGTTCACATCAGAAAAGGGGAGTAAACAATTTGTATTGGCAAGAAAATTAATATAAATAAGAACGGCAAAGGACGTAAAACCTCTTGAGCGATTCAAGGATCGAGTTTCTGTCTAGGAAACAACAGAACGCTAACAGTTTTTGCAAAAATCTTAACATGTTACAGTTCTGTCTAACAAGGCGATTTATTATTGTTTAAACTAAAAAAATACATACTTTCAACTTCAGTTAAAAAGACTCGGCACTGGAATACTGGTGGAAATGCACTTAATGTAGAGACAGCTGGTTATGCATTGATGACTCAAGTGCTTCTCGGACGCACCGTTTATGCAGGTCCTATCGTAACGTATATAACAGGCCAGAGGCAGGGCGGTGTCGGATTTGTATCTACACAGGTGAGAGAAGTTTGCTCCTCGTCTACCTCTTTCCTTTTTTCATATGAGCATCGAAATATGTGATCTGTTTCTTACCACACTGAAAATTTTTCACAGGATACAGTGGTAGCTCTCCAAGCTCTTGCATTGCACAGCGAGAAAACTACAGGAAACAATAATTTAGACTTACGAGTTAAAGTAGAGACAGAAAAAGGAGATGTCAGAGAATTCCATCACATTAACCCAGAAAACGCACTTTTACGGAGGGAAGTCAAGGTGAGATAGAAAACGTCCGGAAATACTCCAAAGAAGTTATACGATAGCAAATCCTAGATGCAACTGGTCATGAATTTCAACTGAGGTTCATTTGTTCTAGTCATCCATTCACTTCAAATTTCTGTATCAGCAGATGTTTAGTAATGTTGCAAATAGTGCTATCGCCAAATAAAAAAGTAGAACAGACTGAAGAAGACTGATCGTTAAGCACACTACAATGAAGGGCTTCTCATCCAAACTTTTGTTTCAATTCTATAGAATCAATGTAATCGAATCAAGATTTTTGTTTATAAAAATTGTTGGACGCAGAAGATAGGGTGTCACAAGAACGGATCTCAGAAATATTTAGGAAGAGTTCTTAAATGCTACAAGGTGCATTTCTATGTCTGACGTCAAACATCAAATTAGCTGTCAGTTCCTAGAAGGAGAATTTTAACGATAAAACACCCGCGTCAGCAAATAGAGGAATTGCGTGTTGGATGCGACCAGAACGAGTTTTCCCCAGCAACAAGAAACAAATTCCTCCCCACCTCTGATAACATGTCTAACTTGAATAGGTGGGGCCCCAAATTTCGCTAATATGATGGATGTTGAGTAAGCAATATTTTTGGATCATTACACATTGGCAAAATAAAACTGTACATTGCCAACAAAACGCTTTTAGTACTCTCGGATATCTAACGATTTTTCCATAAGACAGGGCTATGTTAACTTTGCTTTCAGAATAAATGCTAGCAGAGTTATTGCTCCCCTGTGCTGCTCATTTCAGATTCCAGAGCAAGCTCTTCCCGGCAAGCTCTTCGTGGAGACTAAAGGAAGTGGTGTGGGACTCTTGGAGGTAGTATTATCTTCTTTTTTTATTTAAACTTAGCAGGTAACTAGGAGAGTCTCAATGGGGTGAGGGTTTTTACGACTAACGGTTAAAATTTTGGTCATTTTACGACTAACGGTTACTGATTAATCCATTGTTGTCCATTGACTGACGGTTAAAATTTGTCAATTTTGACGCTTAACGGTTATTTCTTTGGCCGTTTCAGGCTATCAGTTAACCCTATTTAGACCCTCAACTAGTATAGGCTTTGTATGAAATACTCAGCCTTTGAAGTATTTGAATATCAGCTCTAAAAACTTGTAAAACGCCCATTAATTAGTGATGATGTAATAGTTGTCTCAAATGTAGGCTCGACGTTAGGTTAAATTTTCTAATTTATAAATATTATTTTTTATTTCAAAATGCCAATTTTCGTTTTTACTAGTAATTCAGACTACTCAGTGTTCATTTGATATTTAAAATGTTTCGATTTAAGGTGGAAACTCGTTACAATCTTCCCTCGTCAAGGGATGAGATCTGTATGTTTGAATTGAGTATAAAAGTCGTTGAAATAAAAGGAGATGAAAAGGAAGATCTACTTGGACCCATGCAAAGCGATGCCGCGGAGAGAGAACGTCAGGAAGAGGAACAAAACAAACAAGGAGGAGATAGTAGAAAGAAAGGGAGAGGATGTAAAAGGATAAAAAATCGAAAGAAGAAGAAGCAATGTAAGAGAAGGGGAAACAACAAAGGTAACCCCAAGAAAGGCAAGAAGCCTCAATCTCCACCTAAATACCAGCCAGTCAAGAATATCAGATTGGAAGTCTGCACCAGGTGAGAGAAACCTTCTGTATACGCTAGGTGTTTACCCTTTCTGACTTATCCTTCTGTTTGACACAGGCTTTAGGTCGGTTTTCCATAAAGTTATCCAAAGTAATCTTGAATTGCTTTGCTTACCGGCATTGCCCTATAATGAAAGTTGTGATCTTTTGGTTTGCTATACAGGCAACCTCCTTCTCAATCAGAAAGACATAATCTAAAGCTAGTCCTAACATTAGCTTTCTCGCGCTTCAAGCTAGTTGCGTGTATTAACTTTGCATTGCTTTTTGGTGTTCACTTTTGTTGTGATTGCTTGCAGTTAATGATGTGGTTTGGTTTATGACGGGTAAAACTGGACTTGTTCCTTGTCATCATATCCAATCACCTTAATTGCTTTTCTTTTTTTTTTTTTTAGGTATAAGAAACCTGGTAATACTGGAATGGCCATCATGGATATTGGAATCTTAACCGGATTTAAACCAAAGAACAAATCACTAGCCAAGGTAAAGTGAGGGATAGTGGTAGTAGTTGCAGAATACAGTGCCAACACATCAGAAACCCATACATTTGTATCTTCAAAAAATTAAAGGAGAGAGAGAGAGAGAGAGAGAGAGAGAGAGAGAGAGACACGGATCCTGGAGTTATTGCCTCCTTGCCTTTCTTAACAAACTGTTGTCTTTATAAAAGGTGCTGTTTTCAAGCCACCAGAACACAGGCACTGGGTGGAAAGGCGAGAATTCACTCGGTCAAATTAATGATTATGCAAACTAAGAACATCTTTCACATCTGAAAACGAGTAGAAATTTTTAGAGGCCTTTTTATGAAAACGAGTGAAGAAAAATAAAGTTACGGTAGTTGTAACGAGAGCAATATTACAAGCAGTAGTAGCTTTGACGGTAGTGCTGTCGTTACGTGTATAAATGTAGCTGTTTACGTATTTACGTATGACATATATATCTCAGTAGACGTTTTGGACTGTAATATCGCTGAGTATTTTTACGAGTTGTGCCGTATTCTGACGAGTCAAAATACGAATAAATACAAACCAACCCGTCTTATAAGTTATCTATTATCCAACTTCTTTTTTTCTGCTAAGTCTTTCTGCTCATTTCTCTTAAGACGGGAAAAGCAAAGCGGATAGAGAAGCGTATAACGCGCAGAGCCGACTGGTTAGACAGGTTTTTTTACAGTACAAAACAACTAACTGTCCTAATAACCGTACAATATCGCAGGATATTTGTACTCTATTCGCCTGTTATTTGTACTCTACTTTGTGCAGTTGGATAATAAATGGTATATTTTCTACCTTTGGCAGTGGAAAACCGACTTGCCCCAACTGGATATGATTGAGGAGTCAGACAGATCCTTGGTTCTTTATCTCAGTGAGGTAACAGATCAGTCAGAACACAGAGGGTTTATTTCAATTACTTTCGATCTCTTAAACGCGCTTCACCGTCATCATTTTGTTCTTATCACCTTCTGGCTTTGTAACATTGTTTCGACATTTTTGGAAATCTTGCCTGCCCAATTCTGTCATTTATTTCAGATCCCTAGTGACCATGAGCTGTGCGTAAATGTTCTGTTTGAAAAAGAGTTTTACGTTGGTGCAGTTCAATCAGTACCGGTGAATGTGTATGACTATTATCAACCAGGTTAGGATGAATTTTTATCAAAAAGAAATGATTTAAATATTTTTTTCCGTCGATGTGTTTAAATTTCGATGGTATACAGGGATGCACACCTCGCAGGAATTTAGATGAAAAATCAGGAATAGGAAATAAATATACAATGAAGCAAAGGATTTACAAATTTCAATTCTTGAATAAGTGTTCTACCAATAAAACGAGCTGTATTGGGATTAAAATCTTACCCTCTTTTGTCTTGATAAAGCCAGTGTGATTTCCATGTTCATTCGATCAAACTATGGTAATAAATAGAAATGAAAGTAGAATAAAATTCAAACTGGTTTTATAAATGTTTTACCACGGATAAATCAGAAACAAAACTCGGCTCCGTCAAGTTGTCGTAGATCCCACCTGAATATAAAAGATTGTACTTTTCCTGACTCTAAACTTTCAGAAAATTAATAGCTTCTTCCTATTGCATATGATGCAGAATTAATCGTATTTGATCCGTGGATAAATGAAATTGACAGAAATTGATGTCTGCAAAAATATAGGCTTCGGTGGACCTCGACCCCAGTGCCTCCCTATCTGCCATATACCTGTTGTGTAGGCTCTAACATTTGAAGTTGTAATTATCTCGCCATTCTTTCCTTCTTGAGCTCAGATCAGTCCTGCAGCGAATTTTATGGGCCCGAAAAGTCAAGTCCGTTGAAGTTGGGAGTTTGTGATATTGGCTCCTCTTCGTGCAAATGCACTCAAGGTTCGGAATCTGAAATAGAATTATCTTGAGACAATTTGTTCGGCGATCCATAGGTAAAATTATTTCAATATTGTATTTCTTTTTGCAGATAAATGTCCACAGGATGATCCCCCGATTGACAACATTAACAAGCTGAAAAATATTGCCTGCACCAATTACCAATACAGTAAGATATAGGATTTTGTTCCTAGTCGTTCGCACTCACATATCCAATTCAGAACCTGTCCTGGAGCCCTTTGGGAAAACAGTTGCTAACGTGGCGAAAACACCAGAGGCCTGTTTCTCGAAAGACCGGTTACTTAACGCCTAAAAGACCCCAAGCTGTATTAAAAATAAAAATTGTAATCCCCACCTTGAATGAAAACAAAACAGATTTACTGGCCTGTTAGAAGTTTCTTTGACTGAGTTTTCATCGCCTCAAGAGTTTTTTTTTTATTTTTGAGACCTCCTAGAAGGCTGCTTACCCCGAAGCTAGATCGGTTTAGTTTCGTGTTTTTTTGTTTGTTTGTTTGATTGTTTGCTTTTCATTGTTATATTTAATAATTGATAAAAATAGGCCTGATTAGGATATTTGTAAATCAATTTTTAAACACTAAAACATATCTATGTTTAAGACGCCTAGTACCGAAATAGTATACTACTTTCTAGGGTTAACATCATTTAAGTAAGGAAATGAGTAAGTGCTAGGTTAGGAGACGGAAAAGGATCTCTAGTAGAGTACAAATCAAATGATACAATCATACTTGCAAAGATCTCGCTTTAGCCCAAATCTTTTATCCATTCATTTTTTATTTATTCTTTTTTTCAATGCCAGTCATAAAAGGAAAGCTCTTGCTGGTCGATGAGGTAGAAACCATGCTTGAGTACGTTGTCGAGGTTGTGCAAATCATTCAAAAAGGAAACAAGAAACTGAAACTCAGACGTAAAGACGGTAAGAAAACACGGATAGAGTTTACGAAGCGAGGAACGTGCCGGAGTCTTAAACTTGAGACTAACAAGGAATACTTGATCATGGGTCGAGATGAAGGAGGCAAGTACGAGCTGGACGAGAATTCGTTCGTCAAACTGTGGCCTGAAGTCGGCGAGAACAAAGCTAAATTGGATAAATTTGCTCGAGAATTTAAGCCCTCAAAATGCTAAATTATGAGGATTGCATGATGTAGAGTGATACTATGCCAAGCAAGATATTATCTTGATATCAAAGTAGAGTAAAAATTTTATTTGTTTCTTTCCTACTTTTAAAGATGATTTATTTTTCTTTTTTTTTTGTTATTTGCATGCTGCTTTAACCTTTATGGTCAGCCACAACGTAGCATGCAAAGGGAAACTTGGACCACGTTCGTTTATAATGGACGAGCTCAGTTAAGGTTTGCGCATTTTGAAATACACAAGCTTAAATTTTCCCATTGCAACACTGATCTGTAATTGGCGTTCAACAGGCTTAACTTTCCCATCCTCCTGTATTTGATGGTAGCTACCAGGTTGGATTATCTCTTCCTGAGCAAACCCTAATGTTAGTCTGCTCTGTCAGAATTAAAGGCACTTTTTGACGTTTTTTTAGGATTCATTTATAGGCTGAGTATTTTACAGAAACTGTTGTAGTCTAAATTACCTTCTATGGGATTCCTGACAAATGCTTCCTCGGCCATTCTATGTTTTCTTTGTGCTTAATGAGGAAGCGTTTCAGTTTCCACCCCATCTAGCAATCACGTTCTTTTTTCTGAGGTTCGCGTTGAAGGCAGACTGCTGACCAGTGTGCATTTTGCGACAGATTGCTGAGTTTCCTTCTAAGTCAGCTTCGCTGTTTTGGGGCTGTGAAAGGTTAATTCTGGAGTTAAAGAAGAAGCATCGGTAGATGAAAAATGGAAGCATTAACTTTTAAAAAGTATCTTCATAGCCTAATTATGCCGCACAGTATTTTGCAAATGAAATAAACGCCAAGTTTTAATGATTTTTACACTGTCATTGTCTGCACAAAAGCAGTTGAGATTCGCAGGTAAACTCAGTACTTATGGATATCTCCTATCGAATAGTATACTTTGGACTTGTTTTGTTGTGTCGAGATTACACTGAAAAAATTCTAAGAGTTTCTACTTGAATTTTTATCTGTTATGCAATTCTTAACCTGCCTAGTGCTGTAGGCATACATCTGTTTCGCACTGATTCTCTCTATATCACATAAGTTATCTTCGCTTTCGCGCCTCATTGTGACGCTTATCATTTCAGATTTTCTTAAGATTTTTGCTCCATATCTCTTTCCATTGTTGTTTTTGCCTGAAGTGCAGGCGTCTTATTAGGGCGAGCTAATGTTATATTCATTCGATCGTTTATTCGACCGGGCATGTTTGATTTGGAGTTAGAGTGGAGGCTGGGGTGGGGGCGGGGGAAGGGCGAGAATCTTCACTCCCCCACCCCCACCACTTTCCTTATTTTTGATCGTCGGACCCTCCCTAGACTTCCGCCACTATATAAATCAAAGATGGCGGCCATAATTTGCGTTAAGAAAATATTGAGCACTCACTCGCCAAAATTACTCCTGCTCTAAGCCATTTTAAAATTTCATGGCTTTCGGAAATAGACGTTCGTTCGCCTTCTAAGTTTGGAATTCCATGCATTGCTTTTCAAAAACGCATTGCTTTCACTTTGTTACGACAAAAATTTTTTGAGCTGCTTCGATGTAATCTTCCTGTAATCTTCACGACTGCGGAAAAGATGAATTATCCATGTAATTTTGCCATCACCTGACGTTAAACCTTTACCTGGCCTTTAAGTGAAGTCATGTCATTTCTGTAGACACGTGAATTCAGGTAAGCTTCAAATTTTTCTTTCTCATATTTATAAAAATCCCTGAATGATGGTATCATTAGAATTAAGGCTGTTCTTATTTTATACTACGTTTCCCCTGCACGACGGCGAGAGGACCGTCCGTGTTTCGGCCAGAGAACATCACTACACTGTTTCCGACTGAAGAAATAAGGTGATTTTAGGAAGTGGACAACAATATCAAATTCTAATCAAATTACTTCAGACTTGTCACGCAATCCTCTTCGAAAAAATTGTCTGTTGACAGTATTTGAATGTTTGGTAATCAGATGTTGGTTTTTCTCACAAACCTTGCACGAGGCATAATGAAACACAAAAGATCTCTCACTCACTCTCTCTCTGACATTTTCACTTCAGTCAGGAGAACTTGGCCTAGTATTTTCCGTGCTCGAGCATTAATTTTTTGCGTTGTTAGCCGTGATATTTTCTTCTCTTAGATGACATCTTTGCAAACGAAGTTTTATCTGGAGATAGATAACTTTATTTAACGTAGGGGCCAGTTTAGATAATGAAATAATACAATAATAATATTAATTATGTTAAAAGCTACGGCAACTTCCCAACTCTAAGAAAAATTGATGGTCCTTCACTAAAATGATCAACCTAAACCTTGCAAAACTATGAATTGGATTAAAAAATAAAACTAAAAACTAATTGTTCTTATGTGCTTGTGAAATTACTGGCTACCGGCTGCTGCACGTTTGAATATTAGATACCTCCTCAACCGTAATCAAACGTCTGAGTGTTTGACCTTTCGTTCCACTGAAGCGCATCGAAACCTCATACTTCCAATGGACGTGAGTACCTGTTTGTTTTGGCAATTGATCAGCGCAATTGATCCGCGCAAGATCAGAGAAGGCGTCTGAAAGCTGACAGGATGTAAAAGCATCAGTTAGTAAGGAAGTTGAAGCATGCAGTCTAAGTGGTGCAACTGTAAACCAAATGAGATTTGAGGTGATTCAAGATGTCTTTAGGACTCAAGGTGAGTCGCTTTCATACAAATTATTTGTTTTCTACCTTTCTTCCTCGATTTTAGGATGAAGAAGTGAGCGAACATTCCCCACAAATATCAAGTGTGCCTTCTGGGTATTTTTGATGTTTTTATTCGCCGGTCAGATAATTATAGAAGAATGTTTACCTTCCATTGAGGGCGTTAAGATGAATTGAAGTGAATCTTAATTGATCCAGTGTCATAGATTTTCTGGGAAGAATAATCTTGAATCTAATAGGAAATTGCCTATATACAGTATCTCATTGTCAAATTTGATGTCTACCAGAATGCGTAATGTAGTTTTTACTGATTCATGTTGGAGTGCCAAGCTCAACTTACTCTTAACAAAAACCTAAAGTGACTCAGTGTTCGTTACAATACAAGGATAAATATCTGAGACGAAGATTACTGTATGGAAAAGTTTTGGGATGCATCAATTTCACTGGATTATCGTTTTAAGGGTATTTGGATCCGTAGTGATTTATAATAAGAGGTGTTCGAATTCTCAGTTAAATCCAGACATCGATGAATCATGCGACATTTTGTGCTGAAGCGGTTGTTACGCAGCTAGTTCAGACTACTGTTCTTAAAATAGTCTACAATGGATCCAATCGTCTACAAAACCGAGTTAGTTCAACATAGAATGAAATGAAAATTCTGAACCCGTTGTGTCTTTTTCATAAAGGCCACCTGAAATAATAATCCATGGTTTCCGAATGTTACTCGCTCTTTGTTCTTTCGATCGTTCCCTGCGTCAGAGAATCTATGTAGCCTCGTTCGCAACCGTCGTCTCAGCTCGTCACGCCAAGCGCTTTTTTTTCCAAGTCAAGGTGTCGCGTGAGTGAATAGACAATTTGATATTTTGATTTTGTTTTATGCCTCTTCATAGATAGTATTATGTGCGTTTGCTGCCATATTGACCTGTTCCGTTCAGTGTGTCAAGAGCGCAAGTAAGTTTGAAATCCTTGAACATTTAATATGAAGACAACTGAATCCTCCGACCCCCCCCCCCTCCCCCCCATATGAAAAAAATGAAATTCCAGAATTAGTAGATTAATTTACCGTATTTCTACGAAGAAGCGCCCGGACAAGATTTCGGCTAATAAGGAGGGCGCTTATTCGAGGGGGGGGGAGGGGAGGGGGGCTTATTAAATTAGCACCAAGAGAATATAAACTGAGAGAACTTATCCCCCATACGTAGCACGACAGTAGGAAAAAAAATTAAATAATAGATAACGCACGTAAAGGAATTCTAGAAGCGCATTGAGATGGAAATAACTGGAAGTTAACCGAAGGAAAAGAAACTATTCTCATGTACTGATCCCCTTTGTAGTTGAAGCTTAAAAGATATAAATAAAGTGGCAAGAGAAACAGGCTATCCTATCCCCCCCCCCTCAATATCTTGAGGGGGGCGCTTGTTTGACATTGTAGCCAAGGGGGTGGGCGCTTATTCGAGGAAATACGGTATGACGACTTGAATTTACTTGCGTTACATTATTTAACTGCAGGGTCTGGAAGGAAAGGTTGCGCACAAGTGCTCCGAGACTTAAAGAGGAATCCACCGAATCATACCGTGATCCAAATCAACATACGCTTATTCAAAGCAAAATACATTTGTCATAAAGGATTCATTTTGTCCGGGTCTGAACTGCGGACTTGCAGGAGAGGGAGATGGAGAGAGAAAGAGGACCCCAAATGTTTAGGTAACAATAAATGATTCAAAAATGATTGAAACCCCATAGCTCCTGGGCTTCTTCCTCGACATTGTTCATTTTGTTTCACTTCACGTTTTATGATTTATTTCAAAATTCTCTCAGGTGTATATCTACATGTATGTCTTTACCTCCTGTTGTCTTTTAGTTCCCAGACCTTGTGGAAGACCCAAGGTTATACCACACCTTAAATACACAGGTTCAAGTTTTAACTTCAAGGATAATTTGAAGTATGAATGTGACGTCGGCTTCAAACTGAAAGGACCCAAAAGAAGAAAATGTGGTATTACTGGAAAGTGGTCCAGGGCACCTAAATGTCTAGGTTCGTTACACTCCAGCTCTTTATGTTGTTTGTCGTCTCTCTCTGTCTTCCCTTTTTGTGAAACCATGGACTGTAAACCACAAATACTGGCACACAGCAAGAGTCCTTTATAGAACCCCTTATCTCCATATGGCCGTTTAGGCCAAACGGTGTTTTACTCTCCGTTTATTTAGGACTATTAATCGCTGTTATTTTCTTTTTCCGTCAGGTCCTTGCGGGAAGCCCAGCGATGTCCCCCACGCTCACGTTGAAGGTTCAAGTTATGACTTCAAAGATACACTCAGTTACAGCTGTGTGAGAGGCTACAAACTTAACGGACCAATCAGCAGAAAGTGTCTCGAAAATGGAGTGTGGTCTACAGCTCCGTCATGTTCACGTAAGTCGTAATGCGTCCCCCACGATTAAAGTTGAAAATAGATACTTATCATATCTCTCACTACGTGGTCTGATTGGTTAACTTCGCGAGCTTTTATCACTTTGCGGCCTACTTAATTCCAAAGTCTGTTTGAATTGAAATTTTCACCCTCTATTTGTACCGATTTGCACAATAAGTTACGGAACCCTGTTTTTTCCGCTCGGATTTATGGCTCGCGCGCTTCACGCTTAAGCCATAAATTCGAGCAGAAAAAACTCAGTCTGTAACTGACAGCACAGACCGAGAAAACGAGTTTAAGAAGTGGTATATCTCTCCAAATACCACAATTAAGTGACCATATATTGATGACAACTACAGTGGACAACGGCCCAAGCCTCTTCAGTGTAAAGCAGATAAATTTCAAACAGAAATGCTATCACTCTGCATTGTCCATATTCATCCCTACTTCCCACGTCAAATTTGATCTGATGTTTTCTTCTCCCGCAATACATTTCCATAGGAATCCAATGCGAGGATCCTGGAAAGCTAACCATCCGAAATGGAAATATAACTTCCTATGAAACCAATTTCTTTTATGGCGCAACTTTGTTGTTCGAGTGCAATGAAGGCTATGAGTTGAAAGGATCTGAAACAGTCAGTTGCTTGGAAAATGGCTGGATACCTCGACGGTGGCCATATTGTAGCAGTAAGTGTATTTGGTGAAACCTAGCCGAGGCATTCAATAGAA